CTATTAATTTATTCTATAGGATGGAAGTGTTTAGATCTATGATCGATCTTATTTGAATCAAACTAATATTGGTCAAAATTGGATCAATCAAAATAAAGCAGGATCAAAATAGATTCATTGACTTGAACATATTCGATTTCAAGCAAGCTCAATTCAAAATGGCTTGATTTTGAACTTGCTCATTTTGAATTTAAGCTAGCTCAAAATTAAAAGTAAAAAATAAAAATTTAATTTAATTTTATGTAATTTCATTAAAATAAATACAAAATAAATAACATTTACACATCTAATGATATCACATGTTCATGATAACGTGAACAAAACCGTCTTAATTGCTTCTTTTCTATTCCACATAAACATAAGGATTAAAATATATTTAATTTCAAAATACAAACTCAAATTAAATTATACTTCTTTAGGTTATCTTCAATATTTTCAATCCACGGTTTAAAACCTAAAATATAAAAAATTTAAAGCGTTATATACATATTAGTAAAGCACAAAAGCTGGAACTGCAAGAACATGCAGCTGATAACAACCTAGGTGCTTAACAAACAAGAACATGTGAAAAAGTATTGAAGTTGTTTTAGATTCTTATGTAGCATCCCAGCTAATTACCAAGCCAAAATACATAGAAAACTATAAGAACGAAGCAATTCATTGCCTAACATAATACAAATCATAAATTGAACTAACAAAATCAAGAATATATCCAGCAACCTGATTCTTAGGAAACAAAGAATCTAGAAATAAGTATATTAAAAATAATGTAGAATAACAGAATCCAAATCACAAAATCTGATCTAGCAAGTCCACTGACACATGCATCAAATAGTAGCTTAGCAAAAAATGACAAAGAACAAAGTGTAAATGAATCAAATCAAAATACATAGAAAACACAATTTTATAAAGTATTACACTGCCTAACATAATATTAAAGAATTTGAACCAACACGACAGAGCAATGCACACAGTAGTTACCAACCTAGCAAGCGAAGAACATATAACAAAGTACAAATATTATTAGGATTACTCTGTTAAAAAAATTATTAAAATAAGTATTTTTATAGCCAAGACAAAATTAAAAAAATTTATAAGAACAAATCAATCTGCTGCCCAACATTATGTAAATCACAACATATAGTCAAGCCAAAACACAACTAAAATTGTAAGAGTTATTATGGATATTTATTTTGGTCTCGAGAGATCATCGGTCAAATCATTTTAAATCATCCCTTGGGCCTTGGCCAAGTACCAACCATTTCATGTATCTTCTCAATTATTTTACATCACTAATTATCAAAACCCAAACTATAATAGAACAATTAAAGTTTGATTCCAATGATAACTCTCAGTTACTTATTTTGCATACCATCTGTATAAGTTACAAAGCATCACAGTTATTGTGATAGGAAATACTTGATTTCAAGTAGTTCCTAGCCAAATCTAAAATAGAACAAGGAGAAAACTGCTGTTTTCAGCAGTGGGCAGCAGTTTTGCACAATAAAAAAGTGAGATCGCGGAAAAACTGAGAGAAAACTCAAGCAAGAGCTTGTATTTTACTAGTAGGCGAATAAAATAGCAAAGATACAATTTGTTCTTCAATCCGAGAGGAAGAACAACTCTCCAATCTCCGGCAACGCCAAAGCCCAAAGCAAGAAACCCTAGATCTCAAATTGTCATTCAAATTCAAGATGAGAAACAATTTCCCCCCCAATCCCCTAATTAACACAAAGGACAATTAAAAACTTCCTAAAACAGCCCCCCACATTCAAATTTTCCCTCCTAAGAAGAATTAAGCCAAGCCCGGCCCACCTCTAGATCCCGCTTCTCTGTTCCGCCTGGCATACACATGGACCGGTCCAGGCTGAACCGGTCCAATCGGCCCCTCCTGGGCCGGCGGCACATCATATTGATTAGGCAATGGCTAAGCAAATGAAAATTTACTGTGTAAGAAAATTCTGAGTCTACGATTAACTTAAGGCCAAAAATTTTAGTCATAGGACATTCTTCTTGTATAAGTTCAAAAACTCAAAAGAAGAAGAATAAGTGAAAAGAGCATTCTAAACATTTTTCTTAATAGTATTAGAGTAATCAAACCATCAAGATTTAAAATATTATCTAGTAACTACTTTATGTTAGATTCTACCAACCATTGGAATCAATAATCAACCTTTCGAGAACAGTAATTGATAAGCTCTTCTCAACAAGAATATCACACTAAAATAGAAAATAAACAAAACAAATCACAACTATTGAAAACAGGATACAATAAAAATTAATTTAGATTATGAATATTATTTCACTTCCTATGGGTTCTTTAGATGATTTATAAGCTGATCAAATCCAATTTTCAGCGCATTCCAATTGTTCAATTGCTATTAGTTAGGAACTCTTTTAGTCCTTCAAAGACATGATCATAAGCACTGAGGGTTAATTAGATGATACAGCTATGACTTGTAAAAAAATTAAGTATATTTTGTCACTTTTGAAAGAATATAATGAAGACATCTTCGACTACTCTAATATATCAAAGTCTAAATTAGTGCACATAACGCATGCTTTTCTAAATTTTTGTGACACCAATGGGCCAATAGAGGTTATTTAATTATACAAAGTTACAAACTAGCTAGAACATCTACTACACTATGATGTAAACATCCCAATCAATTTTTTGTGACTCCAATAGGCCAATAGAGGTTATTTAAGTATACAAACTAGCTAGAACATCAACTACACTATGATGAATTTGTACTGTTAATGATGCACCAATTTGAGAATTAGATGCTTCTATCTCTTAACATGCTTGTTGACATCTTAAAATGAATTCATCTCATTAAGACGTTTAAAACATTCTATCTTTTCCATAACATTGTTAGCATAATAAATTTGTTGATAGTAGTAAGCGATGCAAAGCATTTTTATGTGAGGATCTAGAATATAAGCAATTGAAAGAGGATAGAATATTTCAACCAATCCTTGTGAAACTTAACCTTCATGATGTTAGCCATAGGAGAAATAAACCTTATTTCAGATATGCACTAATTGTCCAAAGTTTTCTTTTTCAAAATTAAATTAGGAAGAATCCTATATGCTCTATGGGTGGCTTGTACTACCAATATATATATATATAGTGATGTGAAGAAAAATTAGAAACTTTCTTATTTTATCAAATTAACCCCATTTATATTTTGAAGCCAGCTAGTAGAAATTAAGATCTTTTGAAGCATACTCAGAAAGGTAACCTTATGGTAAAATTTTGAGTCAAGCATTTTACAAGTGAGCCATGCATTTTATAAGTAGAGTTCCAATGTGCTGGGACATCAATGCATAAGATTTTTATATGACAATATCAAGCTCTCTTATATTGTCACCAAATTTATTCGAATTACATGAATATCTTTAAAAACAAGACTGGCTCATCAACCTCTCAATTACTTGACTAATTTTTTAAAACATCACAAATCATCAATTTATATAGAATATGAGTTGCACAATATGATCATGAAAAAGCCTTCCCATAACTTGAAATTTTTATTTTGTAATAAATAATTCCTTTAAATTTCTAGCATTCAAGTCATTAATCATTGTATTAAGTAGGATGAATGTACCAACTTATTTTGAAGGATCTTTTCAGAATTGATTTGCTAAAAGTGCGGTAACATTAAGAAGGCTATTGCCTAATTTTTTTCCGAAAGGAATATGTTTACAATGCTCCCAATAACTTTTAAAAAATTTTACTTTTCTGCTGACTTATTTTACAAATAATTGCAATCATCTCAAACAAATCCTAAGATACTAAAAGAGATGAGCATTTTACATTCACAGCTTAGATTAACATAGATGATTAGCAAAATGATTAAGGTAGATCTCACCAACCACTCTTATATGAATAACTCAAATAAGTTATCTTCTTCTTCTTCAATTACAATGAATTACTATATGAGACACAATACTCCAAAAGCTTCACTAAAGTAATTCTCTTCTTAGAAAATGGGTGATAGTGAGAGACTCAAGACAAGAGAGGAAAGGGAGGAAGATGAGGAGACAAAATTACTAGCCATTGATGAGCAGAGAAGATTGGGAGAGGAGTCGTGTTGAGCAACAATGAGGATGTGAGGAGAAGATTTTGGAGAAGTCATGATCTATATCGGAAGAATTGAGGGAGCGTAAGTAAATCAACAAAATAATGAATAAAAAAGTGGATTGTGAAGCTGAGAAGAGTTAGTTTTTTAGCAAAATCATATAATATTTTAATTATATCATTTGAGCAAACAAAATGAACATTTTTTACTCTTCATAACTATCACCATTGGATGAAGAATCAATTTGGTGTCAAAAACCATGAAAAAAATGGATTTTAACAGGATTCAAACCAACATCTCTACATGTATAGGCAACATTAGATAGGTTTTGACAATTGGGCTAGGCAAAGTATTCACCTATCTATAATTATGAGCATGATATTATTAAATTTATTAAAAAAATTATGCCTCAATTCATTTTCGAGCCATATGGCTCAAAATCGGATAAAAAAATAAACTAAATCAATAAATTTGGCTCATAGTTTGACTCGTTTGCTTTGATTTGAGTTTGATCCAAGCCAAGTTGGTTCAATTTTTTAGTGATCTTCAACCTTTGAGCTAAACTCTTAGCCCTACATGTATTCCTCTTGCTTAGGAGATGCATATTTGTGTCAACCCCTAGGGGCATTGTATGTGCAAGAATTTGATAGCTTTGTTGCAACTTCATGGATTCAAATCTAGAAATAATCTCTTTATTAAAGCAGGGGAAAACGTATGCTTCAATTAATGTTGTTGGTAGGAGCCTTGTGCTTGATTATAGTATGTATTAAAATATAATTGCAATTTGTTTTATTTGGTTGTTTACCAGCTATATTTGTGAAGTAGTTCTCTCAGCTACAGTTCCATTTTATTTTGTGGGAATTTGTTCTTTTCATTCAGTTCGCCAGTCAATCTCATGCCTACTTGTTTCTTCAGGTGCAGGGTATGCACTCTAATGCTGCAATTTTAAAAAAGGCTAGTATATTTCAGGAGGCTTCACGAATAGTTCGTGAAGAAGGATTTAGAGCATTTTGGAAAGGGAATTTAGTAACAATTGTGCACAGGCTTCCTTATTCCTCTATCAGCTTCTATGCTTATGATCGCTACAAAATTGTAAGTTCAAAAATTTGCAGATAAAGAGTGGAGCATCAGTATCCAAAGTTCTTAAGGATACACCTCTTTATATTCAGCATTCTACAATCTATATTTACAATGCTTCTTTTCCCCAGAAACATTCATTCATTCTTTCCATTTTCTTATCTCTGGCAGTTGCTTCATTTGCTTCCTGGACTGGAAGGGGGTAATCAATTTGGCAATACTGATGTTTTTGTGCGATTGTTGGGCGGTGGTTTGGCTGGAATGACAGCTGCATCTATCACATACCCATTGGACCTAGTGAGGACTCGTCTTGCTGCACAGGTAATTTGCCAAGAACTTCAAATGCGTTTTTTTATTCCAGTTATTTGATTTTCTTAGTTCTTGTAGTTGCAAGTGTTTTAGCTAAATGCATAAAGAAGCTCCATGAGTTTTTAGCATCCAAAGCTAAATAGTAAATACTAGGCTGTGGGAGAATTTTTGCGTCAGTATAAAACTTATATTTTCTCGTCTTCCTATTGCTTAGTGTTTTATTTGACATTCGTAGCCCCTGATACCTGTACCACTTAATCCATTTATTTTTATATTAATTAATGCTTGATTTGCTTATTAACAATTGTGTATTATGGTTGCCACTCGCATTTCTTCATTTTCTATTAATTTATCTGGGTCTATTTTGCAAGCTTGATTTAACTTAAAACCTTGGCATCCGTTAATAACAACTGTCAAATCCATTTATTTTTGGAGAATGATTTCCATCTAAAAGCATTCCTTCTATTTCAAATTTTAAGTAATAGATTTGAGATTAGACCTCTCCTTTATTACTGTTAGTTCTAAGAACCCTAGATATGTGAGGCGTAGAAGCAATACTATAAGCTTCATTGACCTTTCAACCAGGTCCTTGCTATTAATTTTGGGGCTATTAATTTAAAAAAAAAAATAGTCAACACAGGAAAATCAATGATAAGCAACGGTGTGCACATTGAATGGCTACTGGTATTTTCCTAGTTCCTTGATATATAATATTAGTTTATGTTGCAAGTTGAAGGGGAAGGAGCATTTTTCTTATAAAGTTATGTATTTTTTACTATTTCTAACTTCTCTGAAGTCAGCTGTTTATATGTTTTAAAGATTGTGCACTTTAATATATGATGTTTTCCTCGAAAGGTATTATAAGAGGGTTTAAAATGATGGATGGTTTATATTTAAGGGGAGTCATGAATCAAAATTGTGTTTTATATAATTTATATAATGAAACTCATTTTCATTTCTTTTTTTAATGCTATTTCTCGTTGCAAGTGCTAAAAAATTTCATTCCGTATGGGCAATTTTTTCATTTGGGTTGCAACTTTTTTCAAGTTCTCATCCATTTTGATTCATTGCCTTCTAAAACTATTAAGAAGTTATATGCTTTTTATCATTGCCTTTATGTTGATTCATTGCCTTCTTAAACTATTAAGAAGTTATATGCTTTTTATCATTGCCTTTATGTTGATTCATTGCCTTCTAAAACTATCATTTTCATATCTAGGGCTTTGTGCAACCTTTTTAAGACTAATTGTAAGGATTTGAGCTCATATTTTTTATTTTCTTGTGAAGGATAGAAGCCCATCTCATATATTTATAAAGTGAGACAAGGCCAGTTATAGATTTTAAGAAGAGTTAAGAGCCTAATAGAATACATGCCTATTTTTTTTTCCAAAAAAGTAGCAATGTGAGTAAAGATAGAACCCATGATCTCATGGTTGGGAGCCGAGATATGAACCACTATGCTCAGGCCCGATTCATAAGTTCATTGGAGTTCCATTTAATTTTTTAACACTGATCTTGCATTGAAGAAAAGAAAAGATAATTAGGAGAATTTGCCTAGGTTTTTGCTAGTTCTATGTTTGAGAAAAAAATAAAAGAGACTTATAAAAAGAAATGCTATTAAATGAAAATTCTTATGCCAATTTTATACTTGAGGTCCTGAGGAAAAAGAAAATATATTTTAAGATTTATGCTGATTTCATTTTATTGGTTGTTATTTCTGTTTAAGTTGTTTACTTTATTAATTATTTGGCTTACATTTTGGATCATCTTTGGCCTAAGCCCTAATCAAGCTTGCCTACATTAATACTAGATGAACTCCATTCAATGGTATCATGTTTGATATAAAGTTTTATTCGGTAAAAACTTCACTTCGCCTTTCCTCTGCGGAGTTCCTGAGTCCCATCTTCTCTTTGCAAGTTCATTTATTTTCTATTTTGTTAAATTGGAGCTGTAATCGAACTTTAGGCTTCATTTGGTGGGGCTTATATTATTTCCTTTTGCTATTATAATTTTATACATTCTGTTTTATGAATAACAATTTCTGTTCTTTTCAAAAAGCGACATTTTTTGAAGAAACATATGAGTTCATATTCTTGTTAAGTATTATAGTTGGTGAACTTTTGGGACCTGGAAACTATTAGAAAGATAATTTGTTGAATTTTATTTCATTATTCACTAAAATTTACTAATTCATCCCTTTGTTGTTTGTCTTTTTTTTCTGGCATGTTATATTAATTATTTTTAGGTCTGGTAGTTTATGGTTACGTTGAATACTTGAATCTCATATGAATCCAAATTTTTATTGGATAGTATCTGTGAAGGTTGCTAAGTGGATTATTACAAAGAATATGAAGGGCACAAAATTATTGGTGAGTAATAGAAGGAATTAGGGTTCTAAAGATGGGAAGTAGAAAGTGTTTCATAAATGCAGGTTCTCATAAATGTCATAGTAAGTTTTGAGTATAAGTTATGAGAGGGGGAGGTGATAAGGAATTTGATAAAGATACTCATTTCACTATTGTTGATATTTCATATACTGTTGGCCATATTTTAAGTTTTTATTCTTTAGATACGAGCTTGGAAAGGGGATTGACTAGTAGTCTTCCTGATTGATTAGATCATGCATAAGTTGTATTGTTAAGAAATAATGATGTTGGAAGTTGTAATTTTGACACTTCATATTATTATCATTAAATAAACAATATTAATGTTAAGAAATTCGATACTTCCCAAATCTACATTCAACAATAATTTTGGAAATTCCAAATATTTGTTGACTCTACTGAAAGAATGAAGAAAATAAGACATTTTAACAATTAATACATTCAAGTTTGCAAAGCCAGTTGTTTATAGAATTCTTAGGACAAATTGACAAATATTGTTTTGAGACTGGTATCATAAGGCATGTTGATTTAGATATAGATTTTGTACAGTTCTATAAAATTAATGTGTTATTTTTTTAGGATAAATTACACCCATTACTCTGAGATATATATAGATTACACTTTACATAGCATTTCAATTTTATCATAGTTTCTTTTGAAGTTTCTTTATGCCTACGCATAAGTCCCTATCATAAACGCTCCTTTAATTTTCACTATTAAATGTGGTCAATGTATCAATGTATGACATTCTTCAAAAAGAGAATGACTAATGCAGTTTCTCTATCTCTCTCTCTCTCTCACACACTCCCCCCCCCCACAAAACCCTCTCTCACCTCCACTATCATCATTATTTTTTCATTGAGTTCCACTACCACTTCATCTACAGAGATCAACTCTTCTCTCGCACCCGCACCTGCACCAACTCTACATCCACTACCACCACTCTCTTCCTTGCCTTCTCCGTCCACCACTTCTTGTCTCAGCTTCATCACTGATCTCATGAAACCATCCCATCTCATCCTCATTACCTATAACCTCAACGTTCACTGCCTCCTAGCTCTTTGTGTCCTCAATGTCGGCCATTATTCCTTGTCTCCATGTCCCTTCCTGTTCAGAACTACGTCGATGTAACACTCAAGTGTTCTGGATTCACCTTGCACTTACCGGTGGTGGCCAACATTCACATCCCCAACGCCTTTATAATCCCATTGATGACCTTGAGGAAGCCGACCAACTTCTATAAATGAACATAAAGGTGAAGAAGTCATCAAAGTCTAAAGTTGGATTAGGTTCCTTTTGCTTTGCCATGCATTCATTGGTAATTCAGATAGTGGATCTATGTGTAAGTGGTAGGGTTGCAAATAAACCGAGCGTTCGACAAGCTACTTAAAGCTCGGCTCGATTACAGCTTATTCATGATCGTTTGTTTAAGTAATCAAACAAGTTTAAACAATTTTTAAATACTCAACTGTTAAATAAACAAATATGGATAGCTATGTGTTCGGCTCATTTATGTTCATGAATAATATCAATTAAAGCTTGTGAACAAGCTTGATAAGAAGCTCGTTAAAAAGCTTGATTAAATCTTTATTTTGTATATTTTCATATAATTTTAGTTTTATTAAAATAAATTATTTTTATTATATAAAAATTAATTACATTTTTTATATTACACTATTTCAATATAAGAAAATTGTATCAAAACAAGATGTATTTATTCATGTTTGCATGATTTTTTTTTTTTTTGAAGTGTTCACGAACAAATTTGTTTATAAGAAGAATCATTTTATGAATTTGTTTGTTTATGAACAGGCTCATTTGGTTGATTGAAAACACTCCTATATATATTCACAAATAGGCTTTAGGTGATTATTTGTTAGTAGGCTCGATAAGACTCGTTTGTTTAAATCTCAATAAGCATAAGTGAATTGAACATGAACCAAACACAATCCAAACATGAGCATCTATTCTTTTAAAATGAACTAAGCTTGAATACAAACAAAAAATATTGAATCGAGCTCAAACCAAGCTTGAACAAACTAATAATAAACAAGTTCAAATATGTACAAGCACATACTCTTCTCAACTCGGTTCATTTGCAGCCTTAGTAAGTTGAGTAACTTAAGTTGAAGTATTTTAAAAAATGCAGGCATGTAAATTATTGTTATCAGCAAGTCTATGACTACAATTGTTTCTAGCATGATTCTTTTACTTAAAATGCACTTAAAAATATTCAGACTGGCTGCGTGTTATAACCTTACCTGGGTATTTCATGTAGTAGTACATCAAGCAGAAATGAAGAAGCCACAATCAGGCGAATATAAAGTTGGAATACAAACAAAGTAGCTTGTTTTCAAAAAAAGAAAAAAGCTCTATTGGAATTTACTTTTGAAACAATTTTGAGTTATTTATTTTACTTACTCAAATCAAGTGAGTGGTGTATTAAATTCAATTGTGATAATACTTTCTTGATTGAAGGTAGAAATATTTTATAACGCCAGATATTACTTTGCAGACAAATCATGCGTACTATCAGGGCATCTGGCATGCACACAAGGCTATTTGTAGGGACGAGGGTTTTCGGGGGTTGTATAAAGGTCTTGGAGCTACATTGTTGGTAAAATAATCCACTTTTTTTTTCCAACTATGAGTATTTTTTAATATTTTTTTGTATTAATTGGCCAACGATTGCTTGTATTCTTAAGGGTGTGGGTCCAAATATAGCCATCAGCTTTTCGGTTTATGAAACTTTGAGATCCAATTGGCAAATGCGAAGGTAACCGTTTGCTTTGCTCTTAGCTGTCTTTAGTTTTTATTGTATCGAGAAATTCTTCATTCGTTTGCCTTTGTAGGTGGATAAGTATTTTGGAGCATCTAAATTGATTTTTGCCTTCTAATGTCAGGCCAGAGGACTCTAACGTCTTGGTCAGCTTAGCTTGTGGAAGTGTTTCTGGAATTGCTTCGTCAACAGGTAAGTTTTTATTTATTTATTTATTTATTGCAGGAATCAACAGGTAATTTTCTTAATATTATTTACAAGTGTGATCATTTTATGCCAACATTAGAAGAAATTTGGTGGTAAATTATAGAAATGAATAAAGTCAATTATAGAGTAAGATATCGATAAGATATACAACTCTTGATTATTTTGTGTGGGCCATGAGAAGAAATTTGATGGTAAATGATTGAAATTGATGAATCAAGTATAGAGTGAGATAATCACTTATTGTTTGAATAGTTTGTTCTACAACATCTCAACCTATTGAGAGACCTACATCGTCAACATCATTTGCACTTCATGTAATTTCCTTTAAACCTTTTAATCAGTGTTCAAACTAGGGCTGCAAACGAAACGAACCAAGCCAAGTATGTGAGATGTTTGAGTTCGTTTATTATTAACTTGTTCAAGTTCGGTTCGCGTCTGATTCGAGCTTTATTATTTGTGTTTATATTTGGTTCGTTTAAATTTAATTCGAGCTTCAAATGATATTGTCTGTGAACATAAATGAACAAAACACATTAGTGTTCAAGCTTGTTTATTTAAGGATCGAATTTTAAAAATGTTGCTCAAGTTTGTTTTTGTTTAGTTAGTTAAACGATCACAAACTAGCTTTAATCGAACCGAGCAACGAATAGCTCGTCGAACGTTTGGTTCGCTTGCAACCCTAAGTCTTCTAATTGTAGAAAATCCCAAAAAATGATATGTTCACTATTCCCATATTAAGCATGACAAGACTACCAATAACGATTGCTATGAAGATGTCTACCATTAGGATTTCATGCAATGGTTCTAGTTCCTACGTTTATGAGCTTTCTACAGTTCTGAAATGAGAAACTTTTATCAACTTTTGTTAATTTTCATCTCTTGCTGACTATCTGGTAAATCTCTGGATGTATTTTGATGCGACTTTTCTTGTGACACACACAGTGACATTTCCCTTAGATCTAGTGAGACGGCGGATGCAATTGGAAGGCGCGGCCGGTAGAGCTCGCATCTACAAATCAGGCATTTTTGGAACATTTAAGCATATCATCTGCTCTGAAGGCTTTCGTGGCTTATATCGGGGTATATTACCCGAGTACTACAAAGTTGTACCGGGTATTGGGATTGCATTTATGACTTATGAAACTCTGAAATCTTTCCTATCAGGCTCGGTGGGAAGTAGCTAGTGCTGTGAATTTTGCTTCACACAGCATTGCATCATCATATTGATGGCTGATATCCTTTTTCAATACAAATGAGTTTTACAGAATGCCATAGAAATCTAAGGCTGCAAATTTTGTAGTTGCTGCCACAAATTGTCTTTGAATCCTTATATAGGTTATTGATTATCAATTCTGGCAAGAAAATCCGCTGATATAGGTTATTGATTTGCTGTAATTTTTACCCATACTTCTTGTTGACATTCTTTTCCATTTTCATTGTTTATTCATTGAGTCGACCACCCTGTAGTTTATTGCTGTAACTAAATTTGAGAGCTTTGCAGGCATGTATAATTATTGATGTTGCAAATTAAAAAAAAAAATATTATTCTAATTGAGTTTGGAGGTCAAATCAGAACTCTGCAAGTTCTATACTTCAACGTTCTAAGAAAGCTTTTTTTTCTTCTTCTTCTTCTTCTTCTCATCCTTGTAGTCTATTACCAAGTTGTACCTGTTAGTTGATATGAAATGGACAAATTTTGAATGTTTCAATTCAACTCCAAGAGAGAACATTCTTTTGATGAATTTGTATTGTTGGTTATATTCTTAGTATCAATGGCTTCATTTGATACTTAATTTTTTTGAAAAATGTGTTTGGTTTTTGTAAATTTTTATGTTCATTTCATTAATGATTTCATTGCTATATGAATTGATTTATATGGCCAACTCTAGTTCTATGTGAGAAGAAGATGATTATATTTCATAGAGCATAATATCAACATTGTTATGCTAAATAAACCTTGGAGCCTACTGAGGAAATGTATTTGTAGGTTATTTTCGTGGTATTATGGAAGTTAAATGAAGTTGAGAAATTGAAAATTTTCTCCAAAGAAATTGAGAGTTGCAGCTGCAAAATTCGGGGGATGGCCTCGAGATTTTTGTTTATTGAAGGCTTTCATTTTGTAATTGCTCTGTGCTGGTTGTTTTTTATTTTTGTTGTGAGCATAGGCTGGTACTGGATTGGTTAAGTTTGTCTAATGTACCGTTCGGTGAAATATTTTATTCGAGATTAAGATTTTTTTTTTTTTTGTTGCTTTCTAAAATGATTTTTTAAACTAATTTTTTTTTTAATTAGAAAATTCTAAATAAAAAATAATTTTATAAAATAATTAAAAAATTGTATCAAATGAAGCCTAAGATTTTATTTTAGATAATTTTTTTTATTAATTTTAAAATAATTTTTTAATAAAATTATTTTAGAAAATAATAAGAAAGTTATCTCAAATAAAATTTAAAATCATTTGGTTGGCATCCTTGCATCACCATAAGCTCATTAAGTCTTTAAAAAAAAATTCAACCAAAAACCAAATTCGTTAAAGAATTGGATCTCATTGTAAACAAACTTTGTCATAAAGAATAAAAAAACTAATTGTTCAGCAAATTTCTACTTAAATAAAAACCCATTTGTCATAAATACTCTATATTTAGATATTTTTATTTGTTTGTATTTTTTATTTACATAATACTATAGAATATTTTCATTTATGAGGATTTCAAAATTCAATTAAGCCAAAAATCGAACCATATAAATCAAACTATATATAATTTGGGACGATCCAACCTATAATTTGGTTTGATTCAATTGGTTTAATAAATCCATCAACAAATTCGTCCAACCCAACTTAATAAACCCCTACAACAACATCAAGCCTTTATCCCACTACGTGGGGTCGGCTACATGAATCTTTTTTCTCCATTGTGTCCTATTAAAGATCAAATTCACGTTTAAATCTAATAAAGAAAGGTCATTCATAATATTTTCTAACCAAGTCTTTTTAGGTCTGTCTCTACCTTTCTTAACATAAGTCAAATATAATACATCTACTCTCCTAACCGGGTTCATTGGAAGGCCGCCGTTTTATATGACCAAACCATCTAAGACGACTCTCTCTAATCTTATCTTCTACTGGAGCTACTCCAACCTTTTCACGTATATGCTCATTTTGTATCCTATCTCTAAGGGTATATATTTCCAACTTAATAAACCCCTATTTGACATAAATTTCATTGTCAACAATTTACATCTAATTAAAATTTCCCTCTTTTATAAAGGCAATAAAGTTCACAATTTGTCTTCGATCACTATTATTTTTGTTTCATGTCCATTGAAACTTCATTAAAAATCCATCGAGTAATTCAAGTCATCTAAGGGAAAATAACCAAATAATAGAAAATATTAACTACAAAATAGGGCATTAGAAAATTACATTTCAGTCCATTTTAGCATTTTAGAAGCCATATACAACTTAAGCATGCTAAAAAACAGCCTATGGCATCTTTTAGTTTGATTAGTTTCCAGCAACATAAATATAAGAGGAATAATCACAACGATTGCATGAGGGTGGTAATCCAGAGACACTTCCTCTTAGAGGAACTTATTAATGCAACTAAAAACAGCTTAATTCATTTCAAGGCAGAATAAGAACTGTAGAAGACCCCAAGAAAAAATGAAGGGGTGGCAATTGAAGCTTTCATGACTATAATACCATGAAAGAGCTTGAATGGATTCAAATAGGAAATCTTCCTGTATGCCGAATATGATCCAATGTGCGACGAAGTCCGTACCTATTAACAGCCGCATGTGCCATTCTGAAGCCTTCCCCATATGCCGGCGAAATGTCGTGCGCAATTTGATGCATGAAGAACTCGCCGAGCTTTTTCTCAATTTCCGATTTTCCGCCTTTCTTATATGTTGCAGATGAACTTGATGATGAGGAAGCATAATTTGAAGAGGGTGGTGGAATACATGGCCCGGCCATTACCTCAGATTCAAGCCACATATGAGAAAGAACCTGGCAGATTCCTTCCTCCACCTCTGGACTTAAATTTCGATAGCCTGAGTGACCAAAAAGTGAGACTTTTGTCATACAACGAATTAAAATGCCCAATAACAATTTATGGCATGCAATATTCTCGTAAAGAAATGCATTATAAAGTAAAAATAGCAGAAAAAAAGGTAGAACTAAAGAAAGATCCATGCAGCTCGAACCTGGCGGGGGGCAAAGCTTTCTATGTGTGGAAAATTGTTTTATGCAACTAATTTAATTCCTGATTACCTTGCATACAATTGAAATATGAACTGGATGATTATTTAAAACCAGATTGTGTTGAAATCTTGCCAACCATATCTATTAATTTAAGGACAAGGAGTCCATAAGTAGATATTTTGAGACATGTAATATTTATCTTGGCTAGAATAAAACTTTCTTTTATCAATTTCAATATTTTGTTCGCAGGTTAAATATATGATTCCTTCAAATTTGGCACAAACACAACTATCAAACTTGGGAGAAGTCATCTATTTGTACTAGAGTGACACCTAATTATTTTGGTAACTTTTTCTTTAATTTATTATACATTGTTTGTTATTGGCTTGTTAGTATTTTTTATTTTGAATAATTTGACACAACTAAAAATATGATTGTGGTGATTAAATAACAATTGCTCATTGATATTAGAGTAAAAGTTCAAAATAGTCCCCCGACTATTAATAAATGTCCAATTTAGTTTCAGAGTTTTGCATTGCCTTATTTTAGTCCCTTGAATAATTAAAATTGAATCAATTTAGTCACAGAGCCTAAAATAAGAGTTAAAATTAGCTCTAAAATTAAATATGAAAAATATTTTAGGTATTACAAGTGAATATGATGTTACATTGCTTTATTTTATTATTTAATAAATTATAGTATATAGTTAATCGAATGTACATGATAATAAGAGTTTTTATGATTTGATTATTTTGTTATAGATGGTTAATTATAGGAATTAAAATTGTTAAGGTTTCAATCACTCTAATTTTTTAAAAATAGGAATTTAGATGGACTAAATCTACTGATCAATATTTCAGGAAGATAAAAAGACTTACAAATACAATCATGCTTAAGTTTTGATATTTTAATAAGATGTTTGGAATTTTTTGTGATTCATCTAGGATTGTGTTGCCTAAGAAAGGACATCCTATTGCATTTTTTAAATGAGAAATTGAATAAAGCTAAACAAAAATATTCAAATTATCATAGGAGTTCTACATTGTTCAGCAAACGCTTCAATGTTAGAGATATTATCCATTACCTAAAAGTTTGTAAAGAATTTCAATCATCAAACTTTAAAATATTTGAATTCCTAAGAGAAAGTTAGGAAATACACATGCTAAATAGATTGGATTTCCATAAGAATATTTTTTGTTCTCAATCATTATACAAGAATTGAGAAAAAGCCTGATGATGCCATAAGTAGAGTTTTAATTATTCTACATATTATGTAAATTAAGGTGATTGATTTGTATCATATAAAAGAAGAGCATGTCACTTATAAGGATTTTAGTGATATTTATCAAAACTTCGATAGAATTTATCTTTGTTTAACAAAAGTTACATGCTTAAAAATGATTATTAAGTTAAGGGTATTTGTATTTCCAATTTATCTATGAAAGGCTTTCAGATTTTACACTTATAGTTTAGTAGGGGTAAAAAGGTTGAATGACACTTTTTATTTCACACTACATAACTTGTCAATCTAATAAAAATTAGGAAACATAACACGGGGTTGATTACACCTTTATCAATTACAGAGTAACCATTGGAAAATGTTAACATGTGTTTTATGCTGGATTGACCAAGAATACTGAGAAAGTATGACTCTACTTCTATAGTGATAAATGGCTTTTCGACAGTGATTCATTAATCCCACTTCATAAAACCATTGATGCATCTTATAAAGGAAAATTGTATTTTAATGAACTAGTTAGATTGCATGGGTTACCTAAATAATTATTTATGTTTCTAATATATCATTGTTATTTATTGAAAACTCTTTGAAAGAAAATGGTAACGCAACTTAAAATTTTAATTGCGTACATCCACAAACTGATGGGCAAATTATAGTAAATAGCAGATTAGGAAATATGTTTCATTCTTTGATAAAAGACCATATAATTTGGTGTGATTTCATATCACATATGGCTGAGTTGCATAAAATTTACAAGTCAAAAGATCTATTGGCATAAGTATATTGGAGATTATCACATGATTTTAACCTATAAAGCCTATAAAGCTTGTCAAATTTTCTACTGAATTATGCCTAGTGCATTTGTAACATCATTCAAATAACATACACATGATTTGCACCAAAATATTCCCAGGAAATTGGCTTCTAACTATAGCCGTTATAAACTTTTTGTTGATGTGAATAAGAGTTATAAGAAACATAAACCTAGTGATAAAGTTATGATGTGCTTAAAGTAAGCAAGGCGCCATTTAAATTTTTTCAATGCATTGGAATAAATGCCAATAAATTAGAAAATTTTACAAATTTTGGTATTAATCCAACTTTTCAATATGTCTAATTTGACATTATTTTATGAGAATATTGTCTAATTTGACATTATAGTGGGATAAAGGTTTGATGTTGTTGTTGTTGTTTGATTTTTCCCTTTTTCGACCTCTGCATTGTAAATCCATATAAAATATTCCTTTGGATAATCCTACACAATTTTTTTAAGAGTTTATTATAGATGATGAGATCATTCTTGGATGATGAGATTATGCACAATGCTGATCGTGAACTCCAAAAACATCTACTTTATGGGAGGGCATAACTATTTGTGATAATCTATGAATGGCTTTCTAAGAAGCATAAAATATGTCCTTATTTGTTTGAAGAGTATTAAATGTTAAATTTATTGGGGCCAAATTTTTTTAAGTCGAACTCATTCAATTAGAGAGAGTTACCTTAGATGGTTTGGTCACATAAAACGTCAATCTTTTGATGACACAGTTAGGAGAGTAGATGTAAGATCTAGCCTATCTTAATAAAGATAGAGGTATGACTAAAAAGAATTGATTAGAAAGTATTAGAAATGACATTTTTTTAGATTTAAATGAGAATTTGACTCTTAATAGGACACAATGAAGAAAAATAATTCACGTTGCTGATCCCACGTAGTAAGATAAGGACTTGATGTTGTTATTATTGAGCATATTTGATGAAAATCTATGTATTTATTCTCGTCAAAATCATTGCATTAAGCAATAATCTGCCCAAGTTTATTTGATTTGATTTAGTTTGTTTATTCATTTTAAATTTTTATTTCTATAATTGGAACATGTCAACGATGATGATCTTGAGATAGGGATGTGCTTTCTATTTCCTAGAATTAGTTTGATTTATATGGTTTGATATCATATTTAAGTTAAGTGTTGCAGAGATGAGGATGCTCAGGTGGTTGAGTAGCTTTACTCTTAGAGACAGTATACGAAATGAGCATATTCGTGAAAAGGTTGGAGTAGCTCCAGTGGAAAATAAGATTAGAGAGAGTCGCCTTAGATGATTTGGTCACATAAAACGACGACCTCTCAACGACCCAGTTAGGAGAGTAGATGTACTAGATTTGACTTATGTTAAGAAAGGTACATATATGCCTAAAAGACTTGGTTAGAAAATATTAGAAACGACATTTATTTATTAGATTTAAATGAGTTTGATTTTTAATAGGACACAATGGAGAAAATTGATTCATGTACTCGATTCCATGTAGTGGAATAAAGGATTGATGTTGTTGTTGTATATGGTTTGATATCAGATCAGTTTGGCCTAGTTCAGTGACAATAGCTACTTCAAACCTGATATTTTGAAAGAGGCTTGTGCTAGAGATGTATGCAAAGAGTCAACTATGAGATCGAATTTAACCAGCTATCACGATGGATGTGCTTATTGTTATTGTGACAAGTAGTTCTTGTTCTTCCACTCGACTGCAATTCAAAAGGTTGCTATATCTTGCTGCTACTTGGATTACTGCTATTTAAGGTTTTTTTGTTATCGCTACTTGTAGTTTCTATTCCACAGGATTCATTGAAGTGTTTGTGTACAAGAAATTATTTTATGTGGCTAATTTAATTCTTGATTTCTATGAATTTTGATTAAAATTAAAATTTGAACTACAAAACTATTTAGACTAAAATAGGGTTGATCTTGTAACAATCATATCTACTCACTTAGGGCAAAGCATCAATAAATGGATTTTCTAATGCATATAATTTTTATCCTAAATTGATTTAAAATTTCTTCCAATCCTCTGTGTAACTTGAATGAGTGGTTTCTTTAAATGTATTATAAATGCGACTACCTGTTTCAAGAGAAAAAGCATCTCCTTGTGCGGTCTGAGGCTTGAATTTCTTCAATAATTTTTTTCTTAATTTCTTCTTCATAACTCGTAATTAGGTTGCTAGTATTCCTTATTTTGTTTAAATTTTACATAACTAAAAATCTAATTGTTATGATTTTGCATGGTTCAAATTTCTCATTAATTTCTTTGGATTTATTTAAGCATTAGCATTATCATTTAGGTTCAAATTCTCATATTTAATATCTCTAATTAAAGAAAGCAAGTTGTTGGTTTATTTTATGATTTGTGATCTGCAAATTCTAAGTACCTTATTTGATTTACATACATCTCTTCATTCTAGTTGCATTATAACATTCAACCCTAAACCATCCTGCATCAAGCCCATCCTTGCAATTGAGTTAATGATATATAGAAAGTTGATATTGAAGAAAAATGTCTATATTAAATTTGAGGTTAAGAGGAACATGTAACTGAGATAAGACTGTTGGAGGTTAACTTCTAAGGGAAAAAAGTTGGTGTTGACAGTGCAATCCTTGTTTATGAAGACAAGTTCTACCCATCCGAATAACCCCCTAATGAAGATCAATAGCTATCGCCAAGCCATATTGAAGCTCAAGAAATATACAAAACACATGTGATATCATTTCATAGCGGCTCACTAATTCTAACCAGAGATTATTGCAGCTTAATTATGTAACACTTCCAGGGGCCACTGGAAGTGAAATGAGAACTTATCTGTCCCACATCATAAGCACTGATGATAAAGAATGATCTATGAATGGGAAATAAATGTAGCTTTGTTTTAACAAGCTAATCAAATGCATGCACATTTAGCAACTGCAACAAACTTACCTTTGAGCCGTAGCCAACCATGCATCAACTCATGGGCAAGAATGGACCCTGTTAATAGCCTGCATTCATAAATATAAATATACTAGGTTTAACTTATCAAGTCTCAGACTTCGATGCATGTGAGAATATGCACCAAATGAAGAAAATGTGCAATCTACAGGCATTAAGAACATCAGTTGTTTAATATGTTCCAAAAAAGTCTTGTTTTCAAAGATCCACTATAAACGCATCATCATCATTAGCCAACCCAATATTTGGGGCAAGCTTTGCGAATTCTCATTTTCAATTAGTTTTTTTCGTATTGCCTGATGTTTTAAACATATTTTTCACAAATCCTTTTAGACTTCTATCCATTTTATCATAATTCTACCCCTCCAATTTCATAATTCCTTAACACTAATTTTATCTACTAGCTAGTTGTATTTTATCTCCTAGATAGTTTTTGTATTTTATTTTTATTATACATATCCAGTTGAAACACATCTAATATTATGTGCAACTGGTAAAGTCAAAGAATTCATCTCAACTTAATCAAAAAGTGAAGGTTCTGTGTAAATTGTAAACTTTTTTGGCCGTTTAGCAGGTAGGTTCAAATAAAATTTTCAAAAAATATGATGGTAGTAGGACGGGAAACATCTCTCCAACAGCAGTTGAAAACATAAAAGACTGCAACAAAACGTCCACTCCAGGCGCTAAATTTATACTCAAAATTTTGCTAGATGATTTTTTGACGTTTCAATCCCACAGTTAGATATCTAACTCAAATTTTGCATAGTTTGCTTTCTAACATTCTGCAATGACAACTAATGCAACCTAGGATCTTAAACCTTTTAGTAGAACACTAGGCTTGCAGTTAAGAACTTTCTTTCAATAAAACATAAGCAAACACCAACAAAAAGAAAATAGGAAACAAACGTGATAAAATGATTAGGAAATCTCATAAGAAAGAAAATATAAAAACATATAAAAATCCTCAGAACAACCACAACTTGTCACCTCACATGCAACTCACAAAAATAGGAAAATGTGCTCAAATGAAAGATCTAACCAATGATCCGCCACTGAAATTTTGATCTAACTTAAGCCTGCACTCCTCAGGCAAATACCGTCAGAATAAGGTAACAACACCATCTCACAACTCACAATGTTTAGAGAAGAAAAACATACGTGGAAGGAAAATCGAGGAGAGAAGAAGTAGAAAGAAAACTGAGAGGATGTCTTAGGGATTAGGGAGAAAACCAACTCACAACCTAAGAAGGAACCCTAAGGTTTTTTTTCCTCCAAAAAACTCCCTCCGATAGAGAATCAGTCAATATAGATAGGAGGAAAAAATAGCATTTATTTGCTCACATAAATGTGCTTTCAATACAGCCAATAAGAACCATCCAAATCAGCTCATTAAAGGAGAAGCCAAAGCATTCTGCACTGAAATCAGCAAGGGAAAACCGAACAGCCAGCAGGGAAACCAAACAGCCAGCAGAGAAACTGAATATAACGCAGAGGGAAGAATCCAAGCAGCCACCAACCTAAGCAGAGAAATGAGTCAAGCCCAATAAGAAAAAACAGCCCTTATTTAAATATCCAACCAGCCACCAAGGAGCAAGGAAGCAATATTAACACAAGTGGAAGGACAATGATGTGAACCATCTGAGAGAATCGAATCCAGCATGATCATGAGTTATTTTCATCATAGATAAAAAATAAAATACATAGCATTCAAAAAAGTAAAATTCATAAAATTTAAATTCTTGATTACATCAACAACTAGGTTTGATTTGTGTATTTTAAAGAAAAAGATCATTTTTTAGATTTAAAACTTCATCCCATCATCAAACTGAACAGGTTTCAAAGAGCTGAATGATGCACTAACGAACACAAAAGCTTATGTTAATAGAAACACCAATTACCAATATATAATACGACCACATCAAGGCTAATCAAACCTTGGTCCCCAGCCAAAAGGTTTAACAAGCTACAAAAGAATTCCAATGTAAAATCAATATTATAGTTTCATCTTATGTTGGAATGGATGTGAGCTTGCCTCTTACTACAAAGAGTTACAGTGCTTCCAAATGAAGCTTTCAAGTATTACATGAGACAAACTAACAAACAAATGTAGTATATGACTGACCTGGGAAGTCCATACAAAACAAGGATTGCAGTTACTTCACATCTACGGATCAACTTCTGAGGATACGTTCGCATGTCCAAAATTCTATTTTTCCCAATTCTTGGTTTCTTGAGTATCTACATAATAGAAATAGCAAAAGTTAAATTTCAAAAATACTTGACTTGGAAATATTAGAATGAATACAGCTAAGTGGTGTGAAAAGCAACTGATTTAGGGTTCGTTTGGGACGGCTTTCTTACTGCTTCTTAAAGCAACTTTCCAGTACAAAACGAAGCTAGAAAGCTGCTTTAAGAAGCAGTAAGAAAGCCGTCCCAAACGAGGCCTTAGTAGCAACCAAACGAGGCCTTAGTAGCAACCATGTGATGAGTGTGTACATACACTGCTAACAGTTTGCTCCTCCGACAGACATAATCCCCTGGTCTCAGGCATATGATGAGGTCCCTAACATAGGACTGGTATTAGAATGATAAAACTCCAAACAAAAACAATCGGCCACACACTTTCCATTGATTAAGGATTATTTATGCAATTCAAAAGCCAACCCGAAATAGTTGGTATAAGGATAATCATGAAGATGTCAAAGAAAGTAATTCTTACATCCTTTTCTCCTTCCATGGCATCATTAAGCGCTTGCCTTTCCACCAGCAGCATGGGGATCTGTTGATCAATTTTCATATACATACCTTCATAAAAATCTCGAATAGAATGATATAAAGGTTGGCATTCTCCAGTATCCATGACAGCAGAATCCAAGCATTCCAGGCAAAGGTTGCGTCCATCTCCCAAAGCAATGTATCTTGCACTTCTTGACTTAAATATGGAGCACATGAATATTTATTGCCAAGAATTTATTAAAAAAAAAGGAATTGCAGGAAATCTAGAAAATTGATAGATAAGTTACCACGGTTATTGGGAAAATAACAAAAGTCATGAGGAGGGTAACTCATTTAGCTACATAATAAGACAGTAATGTTGTCGTAAGAAAGAAGGTCCTCACCTCCATTCTCTCACAGCTACAGCAGCGTGGTGTGCTGTCATGTTCATGGGAAGGACAGTATTTTTGGCCCCAAAAAGGATGAGCTCTATACTCAATCAAGCCAGCCAAATTTGTTGGTATCTGCACAATTCGCCAATATGGATCATTAGTAATTCTTTCATGAACTTAGTATTCAATCATGCCTTGCAGGACTTTTTTTAAAATTATAAAGCTGCGCCTTAAGAACTTCTCATTAAAAATCATTTTGCTACATGCATTCTGTAATGTTCAATTCAACTGTTCTATTATAACCTTAATTGGCATCATCTTGCACAAAATAGCAAAAATAAATTATTGGGTAAACAGATTTATTATATTATATCCAAGTGTCATGTGTCCTTAATCAAGTTCTCCTCCAAAAGTTTATACCATCAACACTTGTTTATTAAAACAATGGAACATCAAATCTCTTGCCCATGGTGAAGTTTGAAAGATTGCCCTAAAAAGCCATGTCATAATCCAACTACAACAATAGGACTGTGCCTTATAAAATTAATGATCCAGAATAGCACCATGGGATTTGGATCCTCTACAGTTAGGGAGTAACCGTACTAATCCATCGTGAATGGCAAAGATTGAATGCTTGAAAATCAGTGTAAAAATCATGCACTGATTAACTGGGAAAAAGAGGAATATAGATCAGTACTTTTTTCCATTGCAGCTCCTTTGCTAGGACCTCTATTCTATGAATTGGAAAGTACCAATTCTAACAGAAAGTAGAAAAGTATCCCGAGAGGATGTATGTAATATATTAATACCTTGACCAAGTAGTTCAACTGCAGTTCCTCTCAAAAGAAAGATTAAGCAACAATGACAGAAAAACTACTTAACGATGGAGAGATGAATTATTAGAAGTTTAACACGGGTAATTGACTGGAAAACATGAAAATCACCCTTAAATTTTGATTAATTCCATAAAGAAGGGAAAACTGAAACCACAAATGGATGATTTCTATATTCTCTACATGGAGTAGAAAGGAAAAAACTCATTGATACTAAAACATGAATAGTTAAAAGTTAGGAGGTTGAGAATTGTAACAGATTACATTTTTACTTAATTGTCCTTTTAGTACAAGCATAAATGTGCATAAATATAATAAGCAAGAAAAGCAAACAACAAAAAATAAATAAATGAGAATATTCTCAATGATGAGGAAATACTACATCAATAACTAATGCAACATCCTACTATTAATGCTTAAGGCCATCTAATAATTTAGATATAATTATACTTCCTTACAAACTCAAGAACAATGGTAGATCATAAAGGTGTACAAATATGTGAGAAATAGAGAAGAAAGCCAAGTGCCCTAAGGTTCAATGATGGAAGTGATGCTCTCGTGAAGAGAGAGGCCAGTAGAAAGTCAACATGAGGTGAAAAAGTAGACCAATGGACATGGGAAGTTCTATGAGTGAAACATTAAGGAGAGAGAGCGTTTTAAAGAATAATTAAAGAAAATAGAATAAAGAAGAATATCTTTAATAATGAGAAAATATTGCAATGATAAACAGTGCGGATTCATACTATAAATAATTTAGTTCATATAGTAATTTAGAGATGAGAACAGAAAATAAATAGATTTTTTTATGTTGATTAACAATGTCTTTTAGTTCCAAAAAAATTCAGGCATATCTTAAACAGTAAAGCATACACGCCCATCATAAAAAAAGCAAGTATGAAACAAAAAAATAAAGCTGAGCCGCTTGAATAATCCAAAATAAGAAATTTTCCTTACGAATTGATTGCAGATATCACACTTGGGATGATGCAATTCCTTGTAGCATGTTTTGTGGTATGGGTAACTCCCTGACAGAGAAAACTGAAAATGATAGAATGCTTCAATTTCTTGCTTAGTATAGTCCTTTTTGTTAAAGATGGCTTATGAATAAGCATTATTCATCTTATTAAACACAAAGAAACAAAGAAAAAGACTGAACCACTCAAACCAGTGACCTCAGTTTCAGAGATTTGTTGACCACAAGAATAGCAGCGAAAACAGTGAGGATGCCAGAAGGTTCCCATGCAGCTTAAGTAATGGCCATATCCTATTTCATGCTTGCAGCCTCCACACAATCTGCAGGAAATAAGCATGTAAGTTTTTTAAATATACATTAGACACTAATCTTTCTTTCTGTCAGATCACACAAGAAAGAGTCTAAGGAGCTCAATATCTTTCCAAATGCTTTCAAAAAAAGACATAATAATTAGAGATAGAGAGTATATAGGTCCATACATACTGCAAAAAAAAAGGACTAACCTAAATCCTCTAGGTAAAAATTGTATGGGATTCGGATTATATGGGCAAAAGGAAGGCATGCCACCCAAGCTTTCATCAATTGCTCTGGAGAAATCTTCATCATCATTGCCCCGTCCTCTGTGACCTGAATGCAAACAACTTTTTTGACTCCATATTGAACTCTGAAACTCAATAAAAATGACTAAATGACTAATTGTTGAAAATCAAGCTAATTTAATGTCTTATTGCATATTAAGACATTGAATGAGTACTTTCATATTCTGAACCTACCATTTCGTTTCTTCGCACGCTCAGCAAGAGAAAGTGCTATTGCATGGTCTAGATCTTCATTTTCAGCTCTCGATCGGTCATCCTAACAATAGCTTAAGAAAAATTATTATGAAAAGTATAAAGAAAATGCAAATTAGATGAGCACATCATTGACGACCAAACTAGTAATTTATGTCGGTTCATTTATGTCAGTTAATGTTGCCGGACATGAAAGAAAATTCTTTCCTAAAAAGTTTTACCATATAAAGCATTTTGTGCATACCAGAATTTTGTTTTTAATTTCATGTATAAAAGAAATTTTATAAAACTAAAAAATAAAATGGTGCAAGGTCCTTTCTCCTTTTAAAATGCACACATTGCTTAATCTCTGGTTACAAAGTTACAAATTAAGTAGGGATATTATTAATCATCATTACTAAGGTACAAAAATCAAACATGGTCATCTTCCTACTACTAGAATGGGAGAGCAATCTACCAGGGGTCTACTTGGACCACGCCAAAACATGTTCTCTTCCCCAACAACCTCCGGACGCCTACCATATGTTGTTCCTCGGCTTGATCCTTTGAAGAGCTTGCTAAACCACTTCATAAAGCCAGATTTTCTCTGATTGTATGGTGATTCCATTTCTCCTGAATCTCCTGATGCATTATGAATGTCATTACAAAAAAGAAAAAAAAAAACACCTAACACACATTCTGAAGACAAGTGCATGTTAGGCCATGATTTTTTGCAAATTAGATGGATCAGCTGCAAATACTAGCAAAGATAGTTTTAAGGTTAACAGATACTAGCGGATGAAATATGAAATGAGAAATGTGCTACGTTATCCAATGAAGCAAACACTGATAATAATAAAATCAAAAGACAAAGCCAATAATATCCCGACAACTGACAAATCATTTGACATATCAAAAATGGTCAAATTATATAGAAATAAATAAATAAAAAGCATTATCCCTCTCTTTCTAGTTTTATAACTTACGTCAATAAGTGCATAACCACTTAGTGGATGGCATAATAGTACTGCCCTTTGATTTCAATAGGAGATGTTTTGATGCAGCACTAAGACAAAGGCCAAGGATAAGGTCATAACTAAGACATTGCACTAAGATTTGAGTCATTCATTAAGCACAACTCTCCATACAAGCTCATAAATGACCCATAATCTTACTAAAATCATTAAAGAATAATTAAGAAGCTTAATTTAAGATCTTTAGATGAATAGGTCGGCCAAACCAGTCAATGAAGTAAACTTTTTTATAAATTACTTGACTAGAGGGCTACTCTACTTGTCTAAATTAGCCAATCCGAATTTTAATATTTTTCATAGCTTTAAATTTTACTTTATTTCTCTTAAGATATTTGTATAAGTTAGCTAAACAGAGAGATAGGAGTAGTAAGGATTTAGTTCAAGTAAAGTGTATTAAAGATGAATATCAAAAAAGTACTTTTATTAGAAAAGGATATTCAACAAAGGTGGATGAGATATTTTGCTAAACTTTTTAATGAAGATTATGAGAATGAAATTGACTTTAGTGACCTTAGCACCCTAAATGAAAATAAAGATTTTTCTTTTTTTTTATCAGCATATGGTAAAACCAAGGTTAAGGAGGCTTTAAAGAAAATGAAGTGTAAAAAAGCTGTTGAACCTAATGATATTCCAATAGAGGTGTTGAAATGCTTAGGAGATAAAAGAATTTCTTGACTTACTAAACTTTTCAATATTATTTTGAAGAATAAAAAGATACTAGATGAGTGTAGAATGAGTGTTGATTTCTATTTTTAAGAATAAATGTGATGCACAAGATTGTGGACGAATTAAGTTTGTGTGTCATACTTTAAAACTATGAGAGAGAGAGTTATGGACCATAGGTTGCGGCGTGACACTAATGTTTCTCAAAATCAAATTGAATTCATGCCAGGTAGGTCTATTATGGAAGCTATATATTTATTGATAGGTTTGATGGAGAAGTATAGAGAGAATAAAGAGTATCTACATATGATTTTTATTGATTTAGAGAAAACATATGATAAAGTTCCAAGAGAAGTACTATGGAGAGTTCTACATAAGGGGTTAATAATTCTTATATTCAAGTCATTAAGGATATGTATGCAGAAGTTGTTATTTGGTTTCAAGCACAATGTGATTTGACCAAGTATTTTTATGTTTCAGTTGGATTACATCAATGATCAACCTTAAAGCCATATATTTTTGCTTTAGTCATGGATGATGTCATGGTCCATGCTTTTTGTTGTTGATAAGACTAGAGAGGGAGTTGAAGGTAAACTTGAATTATGAAGGTCAACCTTAGAGTCTAAAGGCTTTCATTTGGGTAGATTTAAAAATGAATATATAGAGTGTGATTTTAGTAATAATAGATATAGTGGGGAGATTGTGACTTTGGGCGATCAATTTATTAATAAGAGCACACGTTTTAGATATCTCGGGTCAATTGTTCAGAGTGATGAAATAGATGGGGATATTATTAGTAGAATTCAAGTTAGATGGTTAAAGAGGAGGAATGCATCGGGCTTGTTATGTGATAGAAAAGTCCCTCTCATACTTAAGAGAAATTAAGATGGTAGTGCGATATGCAATGCTTTATGGTGTAGAATGTTAGCCATTAAAAGATAAGCATAATATTAAGTTAAGTGTTGCAGAGATGAGGATGCTCAGGTGGATGAGTGGCTTTACTCTTAAAGGCAGGATACGAAATGAGCATATACGTGAAAAGGTTGGAGTAACTCCAATGGAAGATAAGATTAGAGAGAGTCGCCTTGGATGGTTTGTTCACATAAAACGGCAGTCTTCTAATGACTCGGTTAGGAAAGTAGATGTACTAGTTTTGACTTATATTAAGAAAGGTAAAGGTAGACCTAAAAAGACTTGGTTAGAAAATATTAGAAATGATATTTCTTTATTAGATTTAGATGATAATTTAACCCTTAACATGACAAAATGAAGAAAAAGGATTCACGTAGCCGACCCCACATAGTGCGATAAAGGCTTGTTGTTGTCTCTTATTTTTCTTTCTCATTGCATTAGGACAACTCATCAATCCATATAAAAATATTTTATTGGCTCCTAAAACTTTCAAAAGCTATATAGGCATGAAAAAGATTTATAAATAGAATTATGCTTTGTACTTTCGGCTTCATTGAATAAAATTTACTTTTTGCTTATGCAAATTTAGGGTAAAAAGATTTGATAGCTACTCTAATATCTAGTGAAGGTTGATGAGTGATCCCTTAGTGCTTTTGCAAGTACTTAATTATCATTTCTCACCTTCAATCCACTTTCCCAATAAAAGCCTTAATCCTAGCTTCCCTCAACCTTAAAACACATCCAAACTGTTCAAAACTCTCCCAAACATTCCCTCACATCCCTCATAATCTCACAAGTCCTCAACTCTCAAATAACCCTAAGATACCTCAGCTAAAAGCTCAATATATAAAGACAATTTTCAATTGCAATCAACTAGATTAAAAATATCACAATTCCTTATTCATTGATTCAAAATTCATAAATACACCAACATTAGCTCCCTAACATCTCAAACCTTCAATTTGGAGCTCCTAAACATTTTACTCGAATAAAAACTAGTCATTTAATAACCTAGAAGTTTTAGCACTAAATCCTTAATACACTTTTCACTAACACCCATACAATCCTTCCATCACCACCCTATGGGACGCCAATCAAATTTTTGTCTTCACTATAAATATTCCATAAACATGTGTCGTGTTTGGAGATTGATTCCAAGGTGCAGCATAAGAAATCTCTTCAATCTCCACATAAATAGAATAAAATCTTCAAATAAGGCTATATGAAAGAGAATGGACTGCTCCAGGTAGCTGTGACTTCGAAGTAAAAACATTTGAATGTATGTACTAATATTTGTGAGAGGTCTCACGTCCCTTAGAAGTTAGAAGTCATAAATAAACACCAAACATGAAAACCCTGGGGTATTCTAAAAGGGTTTGACTTTAATCCTCCATAAGGTTATGGTTCCTCAAGAGAGAACAAAATGAACAAACGATTTGACATCTAAAGTATTTTCCTTCTCAAATATGTATAAAATCACAGGCCTTGAATTACAATAACTAATAAAAAAGCATTCACTTCCTACCCCTTTTAGCATTATATGACAAAGCTAATATAAAGACACCGTTCTTAAATATTAAATTCCTCAGCAAAGCTTTAAAGGTATAGAAAGGCACAGTTCAAACTATGGTGCACCTAATTTAGTTTAAAATTATGTAATTCAATAACTTTTGAATTTGAGCTTTTATTCCAATCTTCAAAAAATAAAAGACATCAAAGCATTAATCTCATTTCAGCACTTCAATTTCTTTGATAAGCCTAAATTAAAATAAAAATAAAAAAACCAATACGTAAATTTCCGAAAACTTCTCCCTGTTTTTGTTAATCCGAACATAGCAAAGTCGGACGCCGCAGCACTAAGAATATGAAAAAACATTTTCGCAAGAAAATTTAAAAGAAATTGGTAATAACCAGAAGGGAAAACATATAGTAGTTCAAAATTGGAGAAACGTCGAGAAAAACTCTAACTCGGCTAAAACGAGCGGCAGAGGGATGGAGAAAGTACCGTAGATACAAGATTGGGAGAGATAACTGACATCGGAGGAAGCCATTTTCCCGAGGCGATGCTATCTCCAGTTGAAACAGAAAAAAAAAAAGGGAACTTTGATGGCCGGGAAAATTCGGGAAGCGGGGAAGTGAAAAGGGGGATAATAAAGGTGAGGTGTAGACGGAAAGGAAGGCATTAAAATGGGCAGATGAGCATCTGCCCACCTCCAAGGCATCCCAAAAGCCTAGAGAATATATCCGCCCGAGAGGAAGGAGGTAGAGGGCGGCGCAGCGAATAATCAGCAGAAAGTAAAGAGTGAGGGAGAAAGAAAGAAATTCTTGACGGGAAAGCAAGAGAGGTCCGCGTCACCGGAGGAAATTTGGGTTTGGGCCATGGTATCCTCAGCCAATTTCTTAGCTTGCATAAAAATTAGAAGAAAATGTGTGTAATGTTACTACTTGTATAAATTACTAAATTTACTATTAAATGGGAGTGTTGAGTCCGAGAATATTTCCCTATAAAATTTAACTTCTTAGCATTATACGAAGATTCAGCACACACATATATAAAAAGATGATATAATATTCATAAGAGACACCAAAATTTTTACGTGAAAAATCAAAATCATGAAAAGGAAAAAAAAAACACGGGGTCTGACCCAATTTGAATGAATACACTATTATTTGCAATTGATTACAAATGAGGTCCTTTCATGGGGGAAGGCATTGGCTTGATGTACATCATATGGAGTACATTACATGGTGGGAATACAAAGAATCACTGTTGACGTGTTCGTTTGGTCGGAAGGACCATAATTAGTGGGCGACGGAGATCGAAAAGATCGTTGTTTAGTGACGGAGGTAGGAAGAATCGTAGTCGATGGGCAACGAAGGTGGAAGGACCATTGTCTGGCAATTGTTTGACAATTAAGAAATTTCTATACTTTTTTAAAACATTATATTTTATCATTAAATATCTTATATATCATCTTTTTTGAATGACTGATATTTAAAGTGGATTTCAAGTAAATAAAATTTAGTATTAGAGATTTAAAAGGAATGATGAAATGTTTAAATATTAGTTATTCAAAGAAGTTAATGAATTTTATAATATGTTTGACGACCCCCCCCCCCCAAAAAAAAAAATTATATTTACATTTTTAGAGTTGTTTGGATACAAGTTTGAGCAGGATTTACAGGATTTGGACGAAGAAGCACATGAACAGAAGAAAATGTTTTTGAGTAAAGATCTTGTGAGGGCAATAATATGACCACTATCAATATTAATGTCATATGATTAGCATGCAGTAGTGTGTTGATTGAGTAAATATCCTGTCAGGGTGATGATGATGATTTAGAATTTAGCCCGCAGTTGCACATGACTGCTACCAAATGTACCTATGTTGCCTAATAATGTGACTTATTTGGATGGTTTGGAGCTTATCAGGAAGCTACGGCTGTAATTACCAAGGGGGGTTCATGTATAACTATTAATATAAAGTTTTTGCACTAGTCTTAATTTGTGACTTCCACTACCATATGAGTCATCTCCTCTTATTCTTGGCCCTTCTTCCATCTTTCCTTTTGGAATGCAGTTCTTTTGGATTTTGGGTGCTACACAATGTGCAATGTCGTATGCAAAGTTTCTTTGCCTGCCTTATTTCACGAATTCTACTAACATCATATAATTCTTATTATTGATCTCTTCTACTTGTTTTCCTCTCCTTTAGGTAATGCCTTTTTCGCTATATTTTGGTTGGAGGAATTAAGCGAAAAACAAAATATTATTTACGTAATAATAATGACTTGATTATTTGATTTTGGTATAATTGATAACAAATAAGGCTCACAAAGGACGTTAGAAGATGTGCATATTTGTCTTTACGATTCTTTTTCCTAAAAATTGAAATGTGCATAATATTATGCTGATTTCATTTTTAAAATTCTTAGTTATTCCTTGAAGTAAAACAAATATGAGACAAATTACTTTTCCAATAATTTTCTGTTCAACCAATCAAGTGTAAAAAGTCTATTTTTTATTCAATTCCACTAGTATTTTAATTTTCATTTCCTATTTTTGATCATAAATGAATTTAATATCAAGTTACTCAGGCTTATTCATTTATCAAATTAGCATTTATAAAAATGTTTAAGTTTTTTTTATTAACTAATTAAACGATCTTTGATTGAGTCAAGCCACGAGGCACGAGTAACTCGGCCAGCGTATTTGGTCATTTGCATCCTTATTAACATCCATCATCTTTCACCATAAATTTTTGAAACCCTCACATTTTAAATGTTGCACCAAGTTCTTTTGTTTAAGTGTCTCACCAAATATAAATGATCAATGTTCATTTTGTTTAGAAAATGTATATGTGGTTGTTGTTTGACAACCATATTATCATCGTAGTTTTGGAAGAACATTAACATCAACAACATCATATTAAAAGTCAAGTTATCATTTAAATATAATAAAAAATATCTTTTTTAATATTTTCAATCAAGTCTTTTCATATCTACCTCTACATTTCTTAACATATGTCACACATATGCCTTCCATTTTAATCATTTAACTAGAGCTTACCAATGAAAAATATATATCCAAAACCTCATATCATAGGATCCTTATCCCTTCATGAAAACATTTAAAATAACGTAATTAACACATAACCCAATAAGTAACTAAAATCTTATAATTGAAACTAATACAAGATAAAATAAAACAATATACTATAAATCATATAAAAAATATATGCATCAATTTATCCTTTTATAGTTCATCATATCTCAATCTGTTACATCATCAGTTACAATAACAATCAAAATCAATAATATTAATAATAGTAATAATATTGGTATCATGAACAATAATGTTAAATAATATTCATAATAACAAGTTGTATTAGTGTCAGTCACAATACTAGTACAATGTTCATGATGATGTCAGCATCAAAATTTAGATATTCAATAATTGTATCTTAAGAATATCCTGCTCATTTACTAATGACACCTAATTAGACGCCCCTTAAATCATGTGAATCAGTCACTCTGACTCCTTGTAACTCTCAATTAATCTCCAGTTCCTTATGACTCTCAATCAGTAAATCACGTGGATCATTAGGATGTTACATTGAGTTATCATATCATGTATCTTATATCATTTAGTACTTAATTTAAATGCAATAAAATTACATCAAATCATTTACAATGACCAAATCAATAACTTGCATGGTGAAAACTTATAAAATCAGGAGATAATATTTTTGACAAATTTGGGAGAGATAAAATTTGTAGAAATAAAAATAATTAGAAACAAAAAATAAGATATTAATCACTTATTACATATAGTAAAGTATAATATAATAAATGTAGTTTCATAAATAATATTTAACTTTATTGATCATTATACTAATATTGTCAAATAAATTTACATCAAATAAATGCAGTGGAATGTATGGAAAATAAATTTAAAGTAAATATAATAAATGCAGTGTATTTCATTATAGTTCAATTTTGAGGTAAATTGTTTTCCCCAATTTTAGGTGAGAACACTTTATACTGCTTACTACTTGCTTGAGCATCATTGTCGGCAACATCTGCCATTGCTGCCCTTCACCCGTCATCGGTCGGCTGACACCATTTAGAAATATAGTTTACATTCATTATTTCCAACAAAAAAAATCATTTATTTGTATTTACTTTACATTCCAAACAACTTCAAAATATTCTTTTTATAGTGTAATTTCTTAGATTATTTTTCTTTTTTCAGCCAATAAAGCAGACCCAAATATTTTTAGGGGGATTTACGTGCATACCACTTTATTTCATATTATTTACATATCTAATACCTAAAAATTTAATATTACATGTCTATCATTCATGTAACAAATATACGCGCATGAAATGAAATATTAAAATTTATAAGGTATTATGGGTGGTATGAATGAAATATATGAATGACATATTTGATATTAAAATTTTATATGAGTGTTACATAATATTAAAATTTTAATGTTAAATATATAAATAACCTAAAATAAAATGGCATGTATGTAAATCCATCTTTTTTTTTTTACGCTGCATTTATTTTTCAAGAATAAAACTGGCATGTATATGGTTTACTTTTCATTGTAGCCATTTCTTCGTTGCTGCGTGGCTTCGCGTTCTTTGCGTGAACTAGCATCTTGAATGAGTCCCGAAGCTTCTTCACCATCTGTGTGTTGGATGGGAAGTGTCGGCGGGGGGTAACGATCTTTCTCTTTTGGCGCGCTTCTTCTTTTACGAGATTTTGGGGAAAACAGAGAAGGAACGGGGTTTTAGATTCTGCAGGATTTAAATTTGTTATTTTCACTGATTAGCAAGATTTATGCTAAATCCTGTTATAATCCGGCACCCATACAACCTCTTAACCGAGTGTCCGAAACCCTCGTCTTTCTCCCAAAATCAAAATTCTAAAAACCCTAGACGACGGAGAAGCGATAACGTTGTGAAGGCTGACTGAAGAAGCATTGACAGGACCAGCGACGTGTGAAATCCATCCAATGCCCGGATTTGCAAAATCGAATATTAAAGATAAAATGGGGGAGAAATGAATTTTAAGATTATGTTGGTTTTAAAGATCTCATTTTTGCTGTTTTGCAGGATTTAGGTTAATCGTTCTCGGAAACTGCTACTGAACAGCTCGGTGATGGTGATTTGCTTCCTCGATGTTCCTCTCTCTACCTCCTCCCATTGTCTCTTTGTGCTGCTCTGAACCCCTCAAATTATCATGATGGTCACACAATGCTATTATTTCATGATCAGATCAATTCTGCAAAGTTTATTATATTTTTTGCATCTACATGCCAGATGAAGTATCAGTTACTTTTGAATTATTAACAAAGAATACTCTGTAGGGCTCATTTGGTTGCTTGAAGTTAGAATATATGATTTCTCTGAAGTTCCACTAATGAAATGGTAATATTTTGATGCATTAAACAAGTTAAAATAAAATTATCATTTTTATTATCTTCATTAACATAATTTTTGTGATGAGGTGTAAGATGATAAAATAAAATTGTCATGATTTACATGAAGTGGTGGGAGAAGCATTTGACTATAATGATTGCAATTAGGTTTAATACCTGTGGTCCGGTGATCAATCATTTCCTACTTAAAGGAATTTTTAATAAATATTTTAGGGCTTGGTGGTGCTTGAGGAGGATTTTGATAGGGAAGGATCTCATGTTAGTGCCATAAGCTATAGGGTTGCAATTGTTTAAGTGTTGATTGGCAACAATATAGCCGAGAGTTGCATTTAGATAAAAAATTTCCCAATGTATTTTGTCCTGACTTATTATTGTGGGTATGTCTAATAAAATTTTTTGCACCCTTCTCTTGATGTTGAAGATTAAATGCTAACGGCGATGATGATCACTTGTCGCACTCCTTATAGAATTTCTCAAAGCAACATTATGAACCCTTGTAAAGAACTTTTGTTCTGTTGTTTGTTGTCATGCTTCACATTATAAAGGTGCTACGTGAGGAAAGAATTTCTCTTTACCATAAATTTGAAGTTGGTTTTGTATGAACATGATTTGTTCATCCATCATGTCCTCTTTTATGGAATCTCTTGTAGAATTTATGTCCAGATGATGGAGTTTTATTGCTCTGAGGAGTGATGCCTCTTGAAGAGGTGTAGTATCATAATCTCTTGTTATGAAAAAAAAAAAAAACTACGAAAAAATATTTATAATTTTCAGAAGGATATCCTATCATTAGCTTTATCTCTACCATGAAATAGTGTTTGGAGGGCTTAATCATATGACAATTATCATGATTAATGACATACAAATAACATGCGATAGTGTGTTGATGTCTCTTTGTAGTTAGAATTTGTTATGGAGTTGGTAATGATGATTCAGAATTTAGCCGTCGGTTGCATGTGGTTGCTATGGAATATCTCTATATTTCCTATGATAATGATGTAGCATGTTTTGATGGTGTGAAGCTTCTCAGGCAATCACAATCAATGGCCATTACCAAGGGGATCTTGTATAGCTTTTCATAGAAAGCTATGATCTTGTATGGATTTTCATAGAAAGTTGCGACGCATGTCCTATTTAATGTTTTCAATGTCATTTAAGTTCTCACTTTTTGATTGGTTCCTCCATTTATGCTTCTTTTTTAATGGTCTACATTTTGTGTCATAAAGCATTACAGGTCTCACAAACCATCTTATAGAATTTTCCCTTTAAATTTGAAGGGTACTTTTCTTTCACACAATAGGCCCGATGCAATCCTCCATCACTCTGAACAATATACACGAGATATCTAAAATGTGTACTCTTATTAATGGCTTGATCACCAAAAGTCACAATCCCCCCATTAAAACTACTAAAATCATGCTCAATGTATTCTATTTTAGATATGCTCAAACAAAAACTTTTAGACTCTAAGTTGATCTCCATAATTCATGTTTTTATTTAGCTCCTTCTTTAGTCTTATTAACATGAAGAATATAATCAGCAAAAAAAAACACTAGGGTACTCTGGTAAATACCTAGTAAGAACATCCATTAATAAAGCAAACAGATATGGACATAAACTTGGTCCTTGATGTAATCCAATTGAAATAGGAAAATAGTTAGTCAAACCGCCATGTGCTTGAACACAATTAACAGCTCATGCATACATATTTTTAATGACTTGAGTCTTGAGTATAAGCATTATAAACTATTTTATTTTCTAGAATTCTCAATAGCACTTCTTTTGAAACTATATCACATGCTTTTCATAATCAATAAATATTATATGTAGATCCTCGTTATTCTCTCTATATTTCTCCATCAAAACTCTCAATAAATGTAAAGCTTCCATAGTAGATCTACATGGCGTTAATTCAAATTGATTTTTAGAAACATTTGTATCTTCTTGTAATTTATGCTCAATTACTCTCTCTCACATAGTTTTAATGTATGACATATTAATTTAATTCCTCTAAAATGCGCACACTATTGTGCATCGCCTTTGTTCTTAAAAATCGGAACCAGCACACTCCTCCACTCATATGGCCCAATGGTCACATGGTCGGCTACCTAACACAAGGTGTCACGGTGATAGCAGTTTGTTACTCCATCCAGAAGAATGCTTTATTATATTTAATATTTAATTTTTATGATTTTAATATAAATATTCTTAGAAAATATTTTAGTTATTTTTATTTATAGTATATCTTAAATATTCTCTTGAAATGAGTAATTAGAAAAATTATATACTATTATTTTTTAAATTTTAACAGCAAATATATTTTTTGATAAATTATAAAAAACTCATAGCCATTGCTTGCACATGGTTGTTCTGGGACATCTCTATGTTTCTTATGCTAATGACATTACATCACACAATGGCCTGGAGGTTTTTTGGCAACCTCAACTGCTCACTAGGAGGATTAAAACATTGCAAACAGCGGAAACCTTCTTCTTTCATTTTGCGAATATTTTGTTTTCTAGTTTTGGGTGCCACACAATGTTCAATTTGGTAGACATTACTTTCTTTTAAGTTCCAATAAAATTCCTTTCTAAGGCTGTTGTAGATGTATATTTGAGTAAGAGTTGCCGTGCAACAAGCTTTTTGGGATCTTGCACAAAATTTTGATATTGTAGATTAGCAAATATGAATGATCAATGCTCTTCTTTTTTTTTTTTTGACATATCAATGATCTATCGTGAAAATCTGGCATTTATGAGGCATCAAGTAGGGCTGGAAAATCTTCAACCAATCGGTGCTACCTTGTTTTCTTACTTAGGGCTTGAATTCAACGGAAAAAACTGCTTATTTCTGTTTTGAGAAAAATTTGCTTAGGATATCTTCTCTCTCTCTCTATCTCTCTCTCTCTCTGTATATATATATATATGGGCAGGATTGTACAATTGTGGATTTACTTTAGCGAATTTGCTAGTGAAAAAAAAAAGTTGGTTAGGTGTTACAATATGAAACAAGATATGAATTGTAAGGCATATGGGTTAATTTTCTTCATTTTATATTTTTCTTGTAAAAGAATGGAAAAGTTTTTTGTGCTATAGATAGAAATCCTGCCATTTGCTTCAACTTTACAGTCAAAATCAATTATGTCCTAATTGTATGCTTATTTTAGGATTAGTGCCATACACGACATGAAGAACCGAATTGATGGTAGATTTTAACCATCACCATTCATGACTGCCTTGGTAAAACTATTTCTTATGGTGATGGCGTGACAACTTAGAGATTCAAGTATTTAAGCATAATAATCTGAGAACCAAAGTTTATCAGTTACTCTTGAGCATTCAAGCTCCCAACAGATTTTTTCAAATGGTATTGTGTTCGTGTACATGGAATCCTTTCATCTCAAGCTCTGATTGCATGCATTCAATAATGGAAATTTTATTAGGATATGATGAATGATAAAATATTGTTGAATGCATTGCAATCATGCCTCGTCTCTACCATACAATAGAGTTAGGAGGTCCTGTCTATCAAGATTTGTGCCATTCAGTACATTCAGTAGTGTGATATTGTATCTTTTATAAGTAAAAATTTGTGAGGGCAATGATGATGTTTATTTAGAATTTAACTACTGATTGCATAAGGCTGCTATGAAATATCTCTATATTTTCTATGGTAATGATGTGGCGTGTTTGGATGGTCTGGAGCTTCTTTGGCAACCGCACAGCTGCAATTACTAAGGGGATTTATGCATAACTATTAGTAGAAAGCTTTTGAACTTGTCTTGTTTTATGACTTCCATAATCATCTTAGCCCTCTTGTTATTCGTACGTGGTCCCTAATTTTTTTCTTTTTGAAATGGAGTCCTTTTGGGTTATGAGTATTACACAATGTGCAATATAATATGCAAAGCTTCTCCGCTTTTCTTATTTCATGGATTCCACAATCATATGTTTATTCTTATTCTTGATTTGCTCTTCCTTTTCATATCTTTTGGGAATGCCTCTCTTTTGGCAATGTTTTGGTTGGAGAAATTAAGTGGAAAAGAAATATTATTTACCTAATAGTTACATCTTGATTGTTTGGTTTAGGTGTTGTTGATAAGGAATTGGTTTGACCAAGTAAACTAGAATGTGTGCATATTTGTCTTTATGATTCCCTACTTAAAATTGAAGTGTGTACAATATTAATTTGGGTTCATTCTTCAATTTTTTCAATATTCCTTCAAGAAAAAAAAGAGAAGATATTTATTTTCTACTCAATTTCCCCTCAATCTAACAAATAGGCAAGTCTATTTTCATTTTAGTTCTATTAATACTTCAATTTCCACTTCGTCGTCATTTCCTCATGCTCAATATGCAATGCAATACGCTTCACTTTCTTTGAATTTTCATTAACATTCCTATAAGGCAGTTTCAGAAGTATATTTGTAGTGGAAGGGATTGTTGTGTAAGCAACACAACTTTTTGAGTTATTAAGTTCGTTCTTTGTTTTTGTGTCCATTACCAATCACTAATGATGAGTGCTTAGTTTGTTTGGAAGGTGAAGTTGTGGGTACTGATTGCAGATATTCTTATTCTCATTGTTTTTAAAGAGCATGGGTTCTTATCCTTCCATATATGGTATCTTTCAACTACTTTTTTTAAATGATTGAGGTTTGAAGTGGAGTTCAACTAAAAAAAATTGATATTGGCAACTTTGAAGGGACCATGAATTGTAAATCTCAACCATTCAAAAAAGTGGGTGAATAATATTAGATGTGTGGGGATGAGAGCTACTATTCTTGTAAAATGGATAATTGTCCAATTGTCTTTCTTGATAAGAGCTGCTAATCTTGTAAAATAGATAATAGTCTATCACCATGTAAGTGTGAGGACCATTGTCATCATTATAATTTTTATGCATGTAGGTGAAATTTTGGAATCTTTCTCGATGGGAAGGGAAAAAGGAAATTGCATTATGAGGCAAAATCTTAATGAGTTTGCCGCTAGTTTGCTGCTGATAAAATTCATATTTTTTTGTCTCGTCTTCATCATCTAACATAGCTATAAGCATAACATATGATTGCATGTTTTTTGTTTATGAATAAAGAATATTTATGGGTAACTATGATGATTTTTAGGCCAACCAAATTCTGAGTAGGACTACCATCTAATACATTTATATTTTCTATGATGTTTATGTTGCATTTCAGAATGGCCTGAAACTTCAAGGAACCACAACTGTGTGATGGACCGTCCGACTTGATTGTGAGGGAATTAGGAAGTTTCCTAATCAAGAGGAAGTTGTTTGGGAATGTTCTTAATCAAAGGGGATTAATTAGAAGATATTTACTAATTGAAGAGAGCATATTTGGAGCTGATTTAGAAGAGATTAATTAGGAGATATTTCTTAAATGAAGAGGGCACATTTGAGGGCTGATTTGGAGGGGATTAATTAAGAAATGTTTCCTAATTGAAGATGACAGGGGATGATTTGGTGAGGATTAATTAGGAAATATTTTCTAATTGAAGGGGGCAGATTTGAGGGTTGATTTGAGAGGGAAATGATGAAGGAAATGGGAGGGAATCGGGGGAGGGCTGTTTAGGTATTTGTTGTTTATTGTTTGCTTTAAGTAGATGATTTTCCTAGGGTTAGGAGTATGTGTTGTTTTCCGAACTTAGAGTGTTCTTAGGGTGCTTGGGCTGTAGCCATCAGCTAGAGATTTGGGAGAGCCAGATTTTCCTCTCCAATTGAAGTTTCACTTGTATCTTATCTTTTCTTTAATAAAACTTTCAATAGTAAAGTGTTCTTGTGTGTTATATTCTTGGTTTTCTTGTCGTTGATTTTTTAAATTGTTGAAATCAGATTTCAGGCAAGGCTTTTCCTAACTTTATGCAAGCACTTCCTATCACTGTGATCATTAGGGGGATTCATGTACTATGTTTTGAAGAAATCTACTATACTTTTCTTTGTTCATGGATCCCATTGTCAATTGAGCTACTTGTTATTTGTCTCTTCTTTATTTCTTAATCAACTTCTTTCCTTTTTGGAATATTGTCTTTATGGGTTTTGGGTGCTATATAATGTGCAGTGTGGTAGGTATTACTGCCTTTGAAATTATAAGGCTGTGTCAGTTGTATATTTGTAGTCGATGGGTTAGTTGTGGAAGAAGCATGGCTCTTTGGGTTGCACCAAGTTCTTCTATTGTGGCTGTTTTCAAATGGAAGTGATCAAGGTCTATGTTGTTTATAAGTGTGTTGATGCAGCTGCTGTTTGCCATCTATCAATGGATCTTCCATGGTTGAGTTATCCTTATCCCTAGTTTGATTTATTTCTTAATCTTCAAATTTTTATATTAGAAAGTTGTTTTAGAAAACAGTAAGAAAATTATCTCAAACGAAGCCTTGGTTTGTCTTTTTTACAAAATAGTGGGCATTATGATAGAGGACATATAAGTCAACTGCAGATTTTTTTCCTCCTAGGTCATATTATCGAGGATTAATCTACGGTTAACCATTCATAGAGTTTTAAGATTTGTTTGGAATTGCTTTTCATACTATGTTTGTTGTAAGAAAAAAGTTAGTAGAGAGAACTTTTTTATTGCTATATCAAAATTTTGCCTTCAAAAACTTTTTTTAGAGAAGCATTTTTTAAATTGGGGCTACAAAAGAGCTTTTAAAATAAAAAATAGGAAAAAGCTTAAACTGTTCCAATTGAAGCCTTAATGGTATAGATTAGTTGAAAGACAATTTTGTCAGGTATTTGTCAAAATTTGCTTACCAATCATACTGAGAGGCTTTGGTTTAGGTGATATTTTCTATCCCCCTGATCTCCTGATGCTGTGCATTGCAAAAATTCATGCCGAGCTCTTCTAAGAGAGATTTTTAAGAAGACATTGGATTGTGGATAGGATATTGCTCAAAGTTTATGCCTTCAGTTTGTGAGGAATTAAGTGGAAACGAAATATTATTTTCGTAATAATTTCTTGACAGTTTGGTTTGGGTTTAATTGATAAGAAATTGGTTTTGGCAAGTTAATTTGAACGAGAGTATGCTTCCTTTATTATTCTATACTTGAAGTTGTTATGTGCATGATATTAGGCTGCTTTTATCCTTAAATTTGTTTATTCCTTCAGATTCTCCTCAATCAAATAAGTGGGCAAAAATTATTTTCAACTTGATTTTCTTAGTATTTCAATTTTCATTTCATTTCATTTCCATTTTCTCTCTTTCATTTTTTTTAAAACCAGACAGAGCCTTTGGATTCTAGGTTCTACATAATATGTGAACTGGACGTCTTGGAAATACAAATCCAATGTCGCCAAATTTGACTAAATCCAAGCACAAATGAGTCCAAATCAAGGGTCCGAAGCGCTAATGGAGGGTTTGAACCACAATTTGGATTGTCATATGTTTTCCAAATGTGTCATGCTTATAATAGAATTGAGCGGCTCGACGAGACGAATCCAATGAGCCAAGATTACAGAATTCCGACATCATTAATACCTTTAATGTTTAACGAACGGTCCACGATCAATAGATTCAACATCTACCGTTCATCCAAATCGCTCCCCATTTACCCTTGATCTTCCTCCTATTTATGGGTCATGCTACTCCAAGAAATCTATAAATATACCTCTCATTCCTTTTGAAAAGGAGACCCGAAACTTAAGGAAAGAAGTGAGAGATCAGAGATTGCTCTTACTTCATTACCTCCTCGATCACTGCCCAGAGTTTTGTCGTACCACCACCTGAGGGCCGGAGTTCTACTGGACCATCACCTGAGGCTTGAACTTCTGTCTAACCACCAATTGAGGCCTAGAGTTCTGTCGGACCACCATTGAGGCTCGGAGTTTTGCTTGACCACGACCTGAGGCCCAGACTTCTACTGGACAACCACCTGACGCTCGAAGTTCTATCGGACCAACCACCTGAGGCTCGAAGTTCTGCCGGACCACCACCTGAGGCTCGGACTTCTGTCGGACCACCACCTAACGATTGAAGTTCTGTCGGACCACTACCTGAGGCCCAAACTTCTGTCGGACCACCACCTAAGGCCCAGACTTCTATCGAACTACCACATGTGAGGCCTGAACTTCTGTTGAACCACCACCTGATGCTTGTAGTTCTGTCATACTACTGCTCAACATTAGAGTTCTGTCAGACTACCGCCTGACGTCAAAGTTCTGTCAAACCACAACCAGACTATCAACTAACGCTCGAATTTTCAAATAACGTCGGACTTCTACCAGTCCACCAAGTAACGCTGGACGTTCATCCTTGTTTGTCACTAGTTTTCAATCATATGGTTGACATTGTAATCTGATCGCCCTCAAGGATGAGTGAGCTCACTGTAATCTACCAAAACATTAGTGAAATAATTTCAACTGGGCAAGACCCCGTGGTTTTTCTCCTTTCCAGGGCTTTCCACGTAAAAAATATTGTGTTATCTGTATGTGAGTTGGATAACCATACAACACTAAAATGCAGTATTATAATTCTATCACCGCATATATTCTAGCCCGCAATAATACTAATGCTTACTAGACCCGCATCCAATAAGAAAAAAGAGGAATCTCCCATACTTCTAAGCGTATCTGAAGAGCAAAAGCTTTGATATCCGAGCACAGTTATATTTTTTATATATTCCTGTATTTAATATCATGGAAGCAGTAAACAAAATTATCTTTTTTCTCCTTACTGCTACGCTTCTTAGCATTCTCAAACTTCACCGCAAGCTCTGGTTAATTAATTCATCATGTACAACATGCATAAATCAACCATTATGAACTTAATTATTTCTATCGTCATGAAGCATCCCATGCAAGAACGGCAGGGCACGTTATTAACACGACGCCATTTCATATTTTAAACGCGACATTACCACCTCCATCAATCCTCCATCCAAAAGACATACAAACCACCTAAACCAATCAATCCACCACAACCAATCCAACCCTTCCCTTCTCTTCTCCCATGGCTTTCCCTTCTATCTCCTTCGTCTTCCTCTGCTTCTTCTGCTTCTCCTTCCTCAACGAACCGCGCTTGTCCCTCGCCGACCATGTTCTCTACACTGACGAAATCCTCATGCCCGGCCAAAACCTCACGAACGGCCCCTACCTTCTCGCAATGCATCACAACTGCCGCCTCGTTCTCTACAATAACACCCAACCGAGTTGGAGCACGAACGCCACCGCCAACGGAAACAGCGATTGCTACCTCGTGCTGACCCAGCGAGGCGAGCTCGTCGTCCGTCGCAGCGTCCACTACGCCTTATGGTCAAGCGGGGCCAGGTCTAAGAAAGGAAAATACGCGCTCGTGCTCGACGCGAAGGGAAGAATTGCTATATACGGGCATCGCCGTTGGTCTACGAGTAATCCGAATGGACTTGGCGGCCCAGAAGACTTGGCCATAGAGGAGCCGGCTACAGAATATGTTCTTCAATCTGGTCACCGGATGTTAGCTGGGGATAAGCTGAAGTACAAGGAATACGAGCTGGCTTTCTGGAGATGCAATTTGGTGATTAACCACACAAGGTCCGGTAGGTGGCTGTGGCAGACGAACACCAAGGTATCGTTTTGATCATAATAAAATATAAAAACACTTCGGTCCAAGCTTCTGAGTGATAAAAAAAAAAAGTTCTCTCTGAATGCTGAAATATCTCAACTTGGAGAAATTATTCTCTGCGGATAGTGAAAGGTCCGTAGACCAATTAATAAAAAAGTGACGTGGCATTTTGATTCGTCAAATGCCATCCGGAGACCAATCAAAATGCATCACGTTGCCCCCTACTTGGTACCCGGCCCGGTACTGCTCGGTACAGCGGCTTGGTACTGAGCTCTGTATCACTGATATGATATATTCTGATTGGTCTCAGGACGGTGATCTATGTTTGACATCCGCATAGAATAAAACACACTTCAATCCAAGCTAAAGTTCTTTCATTTACATGTTGAGTGAAAAAAAAAAGTTCTTTCTAAATGTTGAAAAATCTCAACTTGGAGAAATTATTCTGTGCGGATATTGAACGGTTTAGAAACCAATCAAAACATGTCGTTACCAAAAAGTACCAGGCATGAATAAAAAAGTGAAGTGACGTTCTGGTTGGTCTCTGGACGCCTTCTCTCAACTGGAGGTGAAATTATTCTGTGTGGACACCGAACGCCGTTCGGAGACTAATCAGAATGCGCCACATTGCCCCCTGCTTGGTACCCGGCTTGGTACTGCTCAGTACCGCGGCTTGGTGCCGCTCTTGTACTGAGCTCGATATCACTGACATGATGTATTCTGATCGGTCTCCGAACAATAAATTGTGATAATCTCTCTTGACGTGATATGAAACGTTGAAATTTAAAATATGTTTTGAACAGGTGACGCAAGGGCCGGCGGGATGTTACCTGCAGTTGGAGAGCAGTGGGGAGCTTAGCGTGAAAAATGGGGCGCAGAGGCTCTGGAGCAGCAACAAGAGGACGGATAGTGGGCTGCACCTGGCTGTATTGAGGTTCGATGGGCGCCTGGCGGTTTATGGGCCGTTGGTGTGGTCCAATGTAAGGATGGACGATTCGATTGTTGCTGATGCGGTCACTTATGGTGGTTCCGAATATATTTAGAAGCGGGCTTGTGCGATCAGTTGTTGATTTTTTTACTTTGGAGAGCCTTCTATATGCCCTGCATAAATAAGTACAAAGCGGGTGTAATAGAAAATAGGGTATTTGAGAAAACATATTAATTAGACGTTCAAAAATAGCCGATTTCATATAATATCATGATTTATTTCTTCGGTGTAATGTGTACTAATCTATTATAAGACTTGGGTTGAAAAAAAAAAGAGATTTACATAAATATCATTATATATTATTCTATTTACATATTTAAAATTTAAAATTTTAATATTACACATATACTATCTATAGTTTATTTTTATATCAAATATGATTGGCAGAAATGAAATATGTGAGTGGTAGGAAGGAAATATGAGTGGAATATTTGAAATTAAAATAGCATATGATGGTATGTATGTAATATTAGGGGTGTCAATTTCGGGACACAGGTCAGGTTCGGGTCGAACCTGGAACTGACCCGGGTTCAAACGGGTCGACCCTAATCTGACCTAGGTAGGTAAACGGGTTGAAAATTCAAACACAATACCCGACCCGACGGGTTGTCGGGTTGACCCGACTCGAACACGCGCATGGACGTGGGCATGGACTCCCGCGAGCGGGCAAGCGTGAGCAGGCGGGCAAGCGGGTGTGCGAGCGCGAGCGGGCGAATAGACACGGACGCGCTGGCAAGCGTGAGCGGGAAGGCGCGGGCGAGCGCGGGGCAGGAGCGGAGCGTGCGAAAGGGCAGCAGCAAGCGCGCGCGTGTGGCAGCTGGCAGGCGGGTGTGGGTCTGAGCGAACATCCTTAGTTTAATTACCATAATACCATTATTGTATCTATTTAAGTAAAGACGTTCTGTAATCTGATTTTTCGGTTAATACAATTCCATTTATTTCCTTACTCTCTGTCTCCGCTGCTCTCTTCTTGGATCTTCTTCTTCCTTGCTCTCTTGGTATCAGAGCCTTCCATGGCTGATCAAGAATCAACCAACACCCATCCGACCACCTCCTCCCCTCTCTCCGACCAACCATCCACCGATATCATCATACCACCACAACTCAAGTTTCTCATATCCAACATCAAGAATCTCATTCCTCAATCCCTCACCGTCGATAACTATGCCATATGGAGCATTCAGGTTCTTCAACAATTCACCGCCAATGGTTATACCGGACATCTCACCGGCTCCTCTTCGCCTCCGGTAGACGCTGCTTCACCCGACTTCCTCCGTTGGAAACTAGAAGATGCCAACCTCCTCTCCGCTTTGTTCTCAACAATATCACCTGCTATTCTTCCTTACATCAAATCTTCCACCACCGCCCAAGAGGTTTGGCAAGTTCTTGAACGACGACTTCAACCTACATGTCGCTCTCGCGTCATACAACTCAAGAACGGACTCCACAATGTGCAAATGAAAAACCTCACAATGCAACAATACCTAACCCAAATCAAAACCATTGTAGACAGCATTGCGGCCTCCGGATCCACTGTAGACCCGGAAGACGTAATTATTCACATTCTCAACGGACTTCCTGCCTCCTATAATCCGTTCAAAGCCGCAATTCGCACCTACCCCATCTCGCTCGATCTAGACAATCTTTACTCCATGCTATGCAGCGAAGAGATCAATGTCACTCAAGAACTCGCCAAAGATTCCACCTCCACAGCAAGCAACACAGCCCTCTACTCCAACACCTACAACTCGCCGAAAGGCAGAATACAGAAAAGGTTTGTCAAGAACAAATCTCAGCAACAATACCAAAACCCCTCCCCACCTGTCTCGACACAGCTCCAGCGACCAACTGCAGGCCTACCTGCCAAATCTGTGGCAAGACCGGCCATATCGCCCTCAATTGTTGGCACAGGTGTAATTTCAAATTCGCCCCCACGGTCACAAGATCTCCGCAAGCATTTCAAGCACAACCAACAACCAACAACTCCGAATGGATCCTGGACACAGGCGCCTCCGCTCATTTTACACCGGACATCTCCAACGTTCAGTACCTGCACTCCTACACCGGGACAGATAGCGTCTCAATAGCAAACGGATCAACTGTGCCAATCCAAAATTCCGGTCAGGGTCTCTTACCTCTACCCGAAACACCCCGTAAGCTTTATCTACGCAAGATTCTTCACGTTCCATCTTTAGCTCAAAATCTCTTTTTGTTTCCAAATTAACTGTTGATAATCCTATCTCCATAAAATTTGATGCGAATGGTTTTGTGATAAATGATATCCAGGAATGTCGTCCTCTTCTTCGTGGCAACCTACGTGATGGACTCTACAAGATTCCCAAGCTGCAAGATGTCGCACCTACAGCCCTACACGCAAGCAAGACTATCATCCAGACATGGCACGACCGTCTAGGCCATCCCCACCGCCAGATATTATCCGTCCTGCCTCAAGCTATACCAGACATCAAGATTAGCTCCAGCATTTTACCTTGTATCTCATGTAGTGTCCAAAAGTCACAAAATACAATTTAATAGAACTGTTTCTACCACAAAATTGCCATTTGAATTACTTCACACGGACGTTTGGGGACCAGCACCAATTCCTTCTACCAATGGTTCTCGTTACTACGTTCTGTTCACAGATGACAACACCCGTTTTACATGGCTTTACTTAATGCATACAAAGCAAGAAACATTTTCCAAATTTAAGATTCTTTAAAAATTAATTAAAACCCAATTCAACACGACCCCGAAAATAGGCAAGCACATAATTCACTACCTTCCTTCACACTCACGGCATTCAACGACAACTCAGTTGTCCGCACACTCCCGAGCAAAATGGGGTGGCCGAACGCAAACACCGCCACCTCTTGGAACTCACAAGCACTCTCCTTCAGGCCTCCAACGTTCCTAACACATTCTGGGCAGAAGCACTATCTACAACAAACTACTTCATTAATCATCTTCCCTCTAAATCAATAAATCTCAACACTCCTTTTCACCGTCTTCACGATCGTCCTCCCAATTATACATTTCTCCGCACGTTCGGCTGCCTCTGCTTCCCTTGGCTCCGCCCGTACGCAGCCAACAAGCTATCGCCACGATCGCAAGAATGTATCTTTCTCGGCTATTCTACGTCACACAAAGGCTACAAATGCTACAATCTAATCACCCACAAGACTCACATCTCGAGGCACGTTGTCTTTCACGAGCACATATTTCCTTACAAGAACAACAATTCCCAGCCAAAAGACAATACTGCTGCCACTCCCACTCACATATCACCCTACCTCCTAACACCTGTCTCCACCATCACAACCTCAATCAACCAACCCACAGCTACCACCTCACCACCTTTCACTATCACACACAACCCAGACAGTCCAGCAATCTCGGACAAACTCACTCCAACCATGATCCACACCACAACCACAGCACCGTCCCCTCCGGTTCCTCATCAACCATCACACCACATGACAACACATCTAAAATCTGGAATCTCTAAACCGTAACAAATACTATCCCTTGTCAGTTCTACTTTCTTACAGGGCACGCCGAGCACTTACAAACAGGCAGCACAGATTAACCACTGGCAGAAGGCCATGCATGAAGAATTTCAAGCACTAAAGAAACAAGGTACCTGGACTCTAGTACCCCCACCGCTCAACAAACTAATCCTCAGCTGCAAGTGGACCTACAAGACAAAGACTCTACCCGATTGCACGCTAGATCGTTACAAAGCACGTCTCGTAGCACTTGGCTACGATCAACAATTAGGTATCAACTACACAGAAACTTTCAGCCCGGTTGTTGACCTCGATTTTGCCCAGATTTGGGCCCGAACAGTTGACTTGGTCAAATTGACCAGGCCAGACCCTATGGCCCTCCCCATTGGGTTCAGTGGGTCGAGTCGAGTCTGTCGAGCCCGAGCTTAGACCCTTGGTCAACCCGGTTGACCAAGTCAACCAGGGTTGACCAATTTGGACCTTTTAGGCCTAAAATCAATTTTAAATTTATTTTCATGGTTTCTTGAGCTCGAGCCCCACCCCCTTGACTCCCTTGACTGGTTTGACCAAGTCAATCGTTGACTTGGTCAAACCAAGTCTTAAATAGGTGAAAATCACCTATTTAGAGCCCATTAAAGCCTCATTTAATGCCTTAATCAATTCCAAACGTTTTGGAATTCGAATCCACGACCTAATCACTGATATTTCCCTCCAAATCATATCATGATCGAATCTAGGCCGTTCAAGATAGAGGAGGAGCCTTAAATAACCAAAAATTAGGTTTTGGAAAGGATCTTTTTGCTCTTGCTTTTTCGAGAGACTTCCCCAGCCTCTGAAATTTTGCGTGAGAGCTCCTGCATCCTTCCTCCACCTTCCCCCGTCGAATCCCGACGGTCAAAGCTCGCCGGCGGCGAGATTCCGGCGACCCGGAGGCTTGGACGCTCAAAGCTTGGATTCGATCGATCCAGGGCTCATTTGGTTGCGGTTTCAACTGAAGATTTGTACGAGGACAGTCTACAAGTGCAACCATATCAAAAGCTTGGAGATCCCACGGTGAAAATCCTTTAAAACTCTTAGAATAGCACATAACACTCCGCTTTAAATAGCTTTATAGAAAGTTGATTATTTTCCAAGAGCTTGGTCCCCCACGATTTCTGTTCATACCCAGGTCTTGTGTTTAAAATTTCGCGAAATTCGGTTGAGTATCGAGAGAGAACGAGGTGATTATCCGTTTAGGGTTTCGGTTGACCGCATGCATGGATTCCCTGTAGATCAGACCGTTGATCCTCGAATCAACGGATCTGATCGAGCGGGACCGCGGGTCCGTCCAACCGCGCGGTCCGTCTGGGCGTAAAGATCTTGGTAGGCCGAGATCACAGCCGTCCATCCGGATAGGCGGGGATCAAACGGCCCAGGGCTTTGATGACTCATTTAAGTCAAAACCGTGTGGACACCACGCGGTTTCAATCAGCCCGCAATCATTGCGGGCATGATTGCGCCGCCTCCGGTACCGCGGGATCCAACCCGCTGTTGACCCGTAGCCCTAGCCGCCGCCACGTGTCGCGCCCAGAGCATGCCGCCGCTGGATTAGGGTTTTAATTAGGGTTTAATTAATTTTAAATGTTTTTTTAATTCACAGATCTTTAAAAATTCGTCAAAAATTTCATTTTTCGTCCGATTTTTGCGTGCAATACCTCGTTTTGTTCATATTTTCATTCT